GGTGACGTGGATAACAATAAACTATAAGCCAAAGTATGTTTTATGGATTAGGTTTGAACAAAAAAAAAATCTTCTGGTAACCATGTTTCGAATTATCAATTTATGATATCGTTTGTTTAATCCTCTTTTCGTCCGGCGATGCCTCTTTTCGATTTTTTTTTCTAGTGTGAATTTGTGATCCTTTCTCCGTCTCACATACACTATCCATAATTTTGAACAAGTTTAGTGTTTAATTACTAAAGTGTATGGTGATTGATATGTGTTTTCATTATCAACTGTTAAATGAAGATATTTGATATTTTCTTAACTAATCGAGAATTTCCAATCGCATCGAAATTCGTGACGACATAATAACATTCCCCATAGTACGTGGAAATCTCATAATTTCGTGATTGCTTTGGTTGGTAAGTAATGATGACGAAATAAAGTAATTTTGATTAGTTTTAGACACGGGATGTGTCACCGATAACCGTTTGAATGGAAGTGTTTTACTTGAAGTGTGTAGAATAGGGAATGGCTTAGCTGCAAGTCCTATATTCTATGTATAGAAATGAGGGTTCTGACTATATTGAGTATGAGCCGATTTGGTATACCTATTCATTTCGAAAAGATAGATAAAAAAATTGTTAGTTTCTGGCGAACTGTTTAAAAAAAGGTGAAAATTTTGTTTCAGAAAGGTTGAGGTTCGAAGAGTAACTTGAAGAGTCTTCATTTTGTGTTTATCTAATCTTTTGACAGTTGATAATCTATTCATGTCTATACGTTTGGTAATGAACTGGGTTAGACATTCTTAACTGGTAGAATGTAGTAATTTAACACTGTAGGCTTAGTCATTGGTGGATAACCGGAGCTGGGAAAGTACATTACATAAAAATATAGAATATTACCACTTTATGTTCTTATGGTACTATTTTTCAGTAAGCTTTTACTGCCATTTAAATAGTATAGTTTTTAGTGGCTAATTAGTAAAGTTCTAATAAATTACACTATTTCAGGGTTAACTGTCCTAATAAGATGAAGGATTAATGAATAAATGGTAGCATCATCTGCAGTAATTAAATGTCAACTGAAGTTTATAATTTTTAAACCTGACAACATGTTCGCGTTAATGTTGTTAGAAATTTGTTGAATATTAATTCAATAATATTCACCTCATTATTAATTTTATATTTAACTGTTGTATAGTTTACTACATTTATAAAATTGTGCTGTTTTATATTTTTTTTTCTTATTAAAATATATAAAGTGTACAGAGCATTTATGGATAAATTATACCTCAATGAACAAACGATAATGGCAACATCCGCGTGACAGTATAGTAGCACATCAGCCGTATACAGTAAAACTAAGGAATAGTAGTAAATATGCTGTATTTTTTTATTACAATTACTGTATTTACAAGTGTTCAGCAACGAAAGGTCGACACCTCTCAAAAAGGTTAATTGACCATCATGCACAAGGCACAAAAGAACCACAAAAATTTCGAGAAACGTATACCTGACATTGTATTATATTTAGCATTTACGGCATATAAATATCAATATTATAGCATTTGCAGCCGTGATCAATTTGCATTGTTCATTCATAGATATGACGCCATTTTGATACAACGTATTTTTCCCAGAAAAACGACTCGACAGAACTTTCAATCCGTTTATTTTGGATCTAACTTCTATAACGGTAAACTTTGTTTATCTGGCATGATTTATGTAAATAATATATAAAAAGCGGCTTTATCATAGGGCGAGGGAAAACAGAATTGAATACTCTGCTGCAAAAAGGTTAAGTCTAATTTGAACTTCGCGTTGTATTAAATAAGAGGGATGAAATATCCATTAGGTAACTTGAATTTTGTCATCCTGACAATACATATATTGTAATCAATCAATCAGATATAACATATACAGATCTGTTGAGACGTAATGGAATTTGAACCATGCACTAACTTTAGTTTAAAATTAGCCTTGAACCATAAAAATAGGTTGCATACGCATTGATTTAGCAAATTATTGTATTGCAATTGTTCCTGACAATATTGGGAGTTCAGCCAAAATTGTTAGCTGACAAATGGTATAATTGCGACGTCTGAGTTTAACCAAAATTTCGATTGCCGCCAAAATTTACATCTAAAAAGCTGAAACAGGAGGTGTTTATAAGAAGTATCGTTGATTTTTTTTCTGCATTTCCCCCAAGAAACAGAGATTATTCGTAAATTCGGTTTCTTTTCCCACAGAAAATTCCAGACCTTTTTCGCTATTATGAGCTACTGTCCATCGCAAAATATGGTGTTTTGTATAGTAAATAATTGCATAAACCAGATTCCCACTAACTTGCTACTGGTTGTGTCTAAATAGGTTTCGTCTTTTTTGCATTTATTTGCTATTTACCTTGCATGAAATGAAAAAGTAGTCACAGAATTTCGGAATGCCATACAATACGTCTAATAGGAATTTCGCTAATACACCAATGTCAGTAATTCGGAACGGTTACAGTTGAACTACAATCCAGCGACAACTGTTATTGATTTACTGATGTTGTATGTTAAATTCTGCCAAAAATTCACCAGTATGGTATTATTGTATTATACAGAAGCATAATAACATTTACGTGCAAAATACTGTCAAATAGTATTATATACAATATTTTTGTCAAGTTTTTATACGAGTGCAAGAACTAACATACTACTGTCAGGGATTCACACAAGTACCTCCCTCTATAATTTGCATAATGAAATACATGATTGTACTCTTCTGTCCCTAAATTGCCGCCGTCTCATAAAATCGCGCCTTGCTAAAAAAATTAAGAATAATGGTTAGTATTCAAATGAGCATTTTAAAAAGGGAACGTAACAACGCAAACACAAACAACGTGACTCCAGAAGCTCATTAGAAATTTCATTATGGCATCCAACTATTTCTTAATTTTATTTTGCACAGTTTTTTTGTTGTTGTAATATCAGTGCCCATGGAGACAGAGTGGATCTATAGCAGAACCCATCTTTCCTTGACTACCGCATAAGAATTGCAAGGAGAGATATCTTATTAAAAATTCAGTAATAAAAATCATAAATATGCTTAATGTGTCATTTATGTTAGAACACATACTTGCATCGCTGGGAACATTGATGTACAGTATCAATATATATATGAGTTAAACGTGTATCTATCTGCCGCAAACATTAGGTAGTTATAAAGAGAAGAATTCGTCCTCGGGAAATTAAATCGAAACTGATCATCGTCAATGAACCAATCATCGGCACAAATTTTGCACGCTTAAGGTTCTCAGGACAATTTCTCCTGTTATGTATGACGTAATAAGGTCACAGCACAGTGTATCTACATTCCGTTTTATTACGTAGCCATTAATTGCAAAGATGGTAATTTAACGTGAATTTAAGGCAGATTTTCAATATCATTCGCATGTTTTCAATATGAATTGTGTTTATCTTACCACGCCGATAGAAGCGTTATTAAGTCGGTTGTACTAAATATGACGCAGTCTACGTAATACGACGCAACCATGTACAGGCCACGGTCAATTCTTTCCACGAAATACCTATTATAGAATGTACATGCACGCTCCCCAAATATTCAATACAGACAAGAGCCGATAAGAAAGTGTAATGACAATCTCACGTTCTAAAATTCCACGATAATACCTTCATACGCAGTGGAAATGTATATGCAAATACACGCATTGAGGATATTTCGGCCAAACAAGTGAGGAACAAACTAGGTTGCAACGTGCAGATGATTCCTCCAGTTATCCGGGTATTTAGACGAATTCTTTTCTAAAAAACAATTCAACTACAAAATTAAACGTAAGTAAATGCAGTCGCATTGTCGTAAAATCAAAATGATGTATTAGGAATCCCGCAGAATACAATTAATGGGAGTTTGGGTAAAATATACTTCATTATTAGGTTATCACTAAGAGAACCATTTGTTAACGGCATACATTATAAATTGGGAAAATAAAAACTTTCCCATGGTTTAGTGCCGCTAACATAAGGTTTCATGACAAATCATATGTGTTTATATCTACATAAAAATGCATCTAAAATGGAATATAATTTCGCAGTAATTACTTGTAGACGGTCTCTTAAATTTTTATATCAATTGCTATAAATGTTGTCAAAATCTTTATTTATTTAGTAGTCGATATTAGCAGTTTTTGACCTTATGGTTGCATCGAATTGTTTCTCAAATTTGTGTAATGTTTTATCAAATTGACAAAAAGTAAAATCGTGTCAGTAATCAAATGAAAATATTTCTTTTATCCTGAAACTGTCTGAACTAATTTTATTAATATTTGAGTCAAGATAAACCAACAAGAGTGATATTAATGAACAAGAAAACTTGTTTCAACTTTTCGAACACGAAAATCTTTTCCGAGTCTTGCCATTTGTAGAAGATATACGTGGAAATACTAAAATAAAATGAAGCTATTATAAGATATAATGAATGACCAACAGAAGAGTGAGAAATTCGCAATCTGGGAATGTTAATTTCATTAATATTATAGTAGTAAAGACAGCAGTCATACAGAACAGATAGGGCGAGTGAGATAATATTAGGATTTGGTATAATTTCATAGGAACTTGAACTACGAAATAAGTTTAGTAGTAGCAAAATTATAGTTTCTTGGCAGAAATATATATCATTCTCTGTGATTAATTATACTTCACACGATATTTTGTGATCGCCTATCAATTGTCTTGTTTCATATCGTCAATGGTATTATAATATAAACATCATTAAATTTTACTAAAGAAATATTTATCTATCCTTAGGTACTAACACACCAGTACGATCAGATTTTATTTGATATAGCTAAATACACATTTCATTCATGTCTAGATTTGTGATTTCCTGAGACAAGTATTGGTTGCGGTAAATTTCTGTACTACAATTGTTATCGTCATTATAATTCGTTCTTCTATATTTTTATTTTTTCAGATATTAGTTTAAAAATATTTAATAAAAAAATAAACGTGAAAAATGGAAATTATTCATCCACTGTTTGTACTGATAGTTTCGGCGGTGCATATATCATGGTCATTCAACGTTGAAATTACGGAGAAAGGATATATAAGACCTCAATTTATACATCAAAATCCTTCAAAACTAAAGGACACTGGTCCCAATGAATTCATCCCGAAGAATTTTGCAAATACAATGAAAATAGTGTCGCAGGAAAATGATAAATTCAGGTTAGCGAATAATATACGACTTCGACTGAAAGCTGAAAATATATATTGTACGTTCTTATTTGATTAATGTGAATTATCGATGTCGGAAAAATGTAGCGTAAAAGGTATAATGTATCACTAATTGATAGCTGTTTATATGTATGGGCAGATGTGAGTTTGAATCTATTGGAAGGGCAGTATAGTCGATGTAGGATCTATGAGAAATCTGACATTAACGTTAGTAATTCGTTGCTTGCTATTTTACAGCTTGATATTAACTTCACCGCGATCTACGAATCCCCAGAATATGACGTCAACCATCCCAGGTGAGATTTATTCATGAGTTTCATCCCAGTTCCGTTTGTCCCGCAAATATTATGTCCAACAATAGGATATTAGAATATGTTTTGAATAGGTTATATATAATCATAAACTTCAACTAAACGTTGAAGAAACACCGCACGTTCAAAGAAGTATATATACAATAACCTTTCGTCGCTTTACAATATGGGATTACAATGAGAAGTTCATTTGTTTACCACCAGTTGACCAAATTGATACAATACGATTTTGGTATTGTCGTCGGATAATTATAATTTTTTAGATGAAAAGAAAAAAAACTCATTTTTTTTGTCTTTTATGAAACGCATTCTTAAGTTTTATAATAGCTGCTTCTTGTGTATTTGTAAATGCGATAACCTAGCATTTACAGATATTTCACACTATTTCCAATCAACAGAGCGCAAGTATTGGTGTTTTATAACGTACAAGTATTTAATATTTTGTTACCTTTTCTAGAGAATAATTGCGGTACACGATTGTATATTTACATCCATTTTTTGAAAAAGTTGTTAGGACAGAATCATGTTTGCATAGTCATAATGCCATCGAATATGAAACATTTTTTTGTGGAATGAGGAATCGTTTGTATGTCGTTGATTATCAAAAGTAATGTCACATATAGATCGACGAATTATATGTATTTCCTGTATGTATTGAGTACTGAATTCTAGCCCATAATGTGATAATATTTCAGATTCTCGAGGTAGTATTCAACACTGTCCACTTGGTGCGGAAGTATTTTCCAAAAATATCACAAATTGCAGCACACATCATCCAAATTACACTGTGCCCGGCGATGGGTTTGCAATTGCTGCCCCTGTACGAGAAGACGGTTCCATGAGGGTGAGAACTTATAGACTTTAGAATCTATGTTTTTTAAATTTCTATTTAAATACTGTAAACATATATTACGGTTATTATCAGATAGATAAAAGTCACAAACCAGAAGTGGAAGTCTTTCCCCATTTCGACCCACTCCATTTCTCCACTTTGATGACACCACAAGGAATGCCTTCGTGCCATGTCGCTTGGCACGAACTCCCATATTAGCGGTCTTATGTAGGGTAGTCTTGATATCCGCTGGAATCCACTGTTCTCACTCTCCACTCGTTTACTTCAAGGCATGCTCTACGGTTAGGACGCAGAAATGCAGCACAATTTGGTACGTCCCGGGATACTGCTATGAATCATCAGATTTCGGACAAACGTGGACTGAGGATAAACGTACACAAATGTTGAGTAGGTTTTTTTTTTAATTTTCAAACTGTTATAATCAAAAATGTGCTGGAGAATCAAGTTGATGAAAAAAATCACCATGAGCTGATCCTAATGGTTGGCAATGACACCGTTAGGCTAGACATTTTATGTAAATTGTCTCTGATTTGCTAAGTTGATGTGAACTATATAGTGAACGTCTACATATATTGCAAATCATATCTATAGGAAACTTTATCTGACTTTAGCATTTTTCGTTAATTAAACTAGTAGTGTTTGGCAATTTCGAATAGATATATATATATATCATAAATCCCATCAATTTTCAACTACCTTACCCAAACAAAATCTTTGCAGAATAGTTTAATAATCGTGGAAATGGCACAATCGAAAGCACCATGTTTTTTATTATTTAGATACGGCACATTCTGCGTGGGCTACGCTTGCGCTTGCTTACCAGTCTAGTAACTCGAAAGTAATTGACGAATGTATTGATTGTCACCTTGACTCATTAGTATATAACTTAGTTTGATAATTGTCTCTTCTGTTGCAGGCTGCCCACCACTGAATACAGTCGAGGTACTTTTTGTCATCGATGGTTCTACTTCAGTTGGAGAAAAGAATTTTGAAATCGTAAAGAATTGGATCAAGAAAATAGTTAGAGAGTTGGACATCGAGGAAGGTCAAATCAGTGCTGGTGTGGTACAGTACTCACATTACAACCCAAGGTAAAATATTCCTCAATGCATATGTATATATTCAATAAACCAAGGCTTTCCAAACTGGGGATCCCGTGCTCCGGCGGGTCACGCAGCGGCTCAATGGGGGTCGCATTACCCAATACTGTCAGAACTAGCCGTACTCTTTTATGCGTTACTATGCAAGCACATCGGTCACAATAAAGTTCCCGAGGATTGCAAAAACAATTTGGTCGTGATGTAAAATTTTGGAGAACACTGCGATAGACGACCATCAAGCTATGGTTAAATCTATGAACGCGAAAGTCGAGCATCGATGACAGTACAATATTATCTGAGCACTAAGTCTGTTGGGACCACCAACGGACAACAGTGCTAGAAAATGAAGGTTTCTCTTAGTTCATAGAAAGTGTTCCGATAAAAAGTGTTTCTGATATATATATGACAAGGAATACATTGTAAATATTGATGATAATCATTAATTAAATTCTTTCAGGTTATCGTTAAATCGTCAACGATATATCAAAACTGAAATAAAAATAGGGAAATATGAAAAGTATAATCTGTTTGCGGTAAGTACATATATATATATATAGTTTTCCCATTCCAGTTGCATTATTCTGCTTCAATCCCTTGCTGCGTTGCATATTTACCGTATATGCGTTTGTTGTTACAGTAAAGGTGATATAGGGTGCATATTAAAGATGTACCAAATAGCAATACAATATTTCTAGAGAGATATTACTAAAATTCGCGGTGGATTATTTTGCATAAGCGGCTTTGTCGGTGTTAGTAATATCGGAACACTCATAGAGTATCTTTATAATTAGGCTGATGTTTATATTAACATTTAATTTACAGAATTCGGAAGAAAAATTCAAATATTTGAAATTTCGTTAGATCCTCAGGATTATTGACTACTTGCTGCTTAGTAAACATGTTAATTTCTTCCTGTCTACATCTACGTATATAATAATATTCTTTGTTCATTAGGCTGGTGTGAACAGGATTCGACTTCAGTCCTATACAACTTACACCGGACAAGCATTGAGAAAAGTTGTTAACGATTTTAAAAATACCAAAAATTATGGGGAAAAAAACAACAAACAAATTATGATTCTACTGACGGACGGAAGGTATTATCATATATTTTCTAGTATTTAGTAGAGTGATTCGTCTTATCCGTGAAGATGTTACATATATCGCGTTTAACCGAAAATAAGACTTAGCCCTAAACCGAGACCTACCCTGAATTTTTGAAATTATGATTTTGATATAAACGCTCCCCTTAAAATAAAACCTTGTATATAAATAGCGCGATTTTTTTTTTGACCAGGTCGAAAAGCAAGAAATCTTTCCTACACTGGTCATTTTTATAAAAATCTACGTTTAGCAGTTTTTTTTAATTAAAACGTGCTATTTATGGCATTCCCGAAATATGTGAATCAGGATGGCGGACACCGGAACGTAGTATGTGTACCAGGTTAGGGTTAGGCTATAATTTTATTCCGAGTTTCCCTATTGTAGTTCTATTACGAGTTTGGGGACTAGCCAAGTGACTCCCGTAGTATTTGTACCTGAAATTATGGCCTAACCCTAACCTGGTACACATTCTACGTTTCGGTGTCCGCCATCTTGGTTCACATACTTCGGGAGTACCCTATTTATAAATAAATGAATATCGATTTCATAATTATATATATATATACATATATATATAATATGTTGCAAATTATTTCTGACACTGGTGCTAGATATCGTACACACAATAGTTTCATCTCTCGTTTTACAAAAATTTAAAATGTTTTAAAAGAACATGTTTATATACCTTTGGGTAACGACATGTATTGTAATTACGCTATATATATACATTTTCACTGTAACAATACAATTTTTCTGCAGAGCAACTAAAGAAGATAGAGGTACCATCCCTAAGGCTGCAGCTTTCCTACGAAACAAAATGGATGTTGCTACGTATGCCGTTGGTGTGGGCAACGATCTTCATGTGCCAGAACTTCAAGTGCGTTAATCAAGATAGTAATGTTATTTCTGTAAATATTCCCATTACATTGATAGGATTCAAACCTGCATTCAAGTATAAACTAGTGTTTCTGTGATATGGCAATATTTTTAATTACTCGAGTACAACCCATAGTGCAGAATAATTTACAAAATCTGATAAAACCTCTTTTGTGTTTAATAGATTAGATAACAATACAGTAATATGGCAAAATATTTGCGACTGAGAGTACTTTATTTCAATAGATATGAAATAATCCATATGTTCAAAACTGCAGTAATGCTTTTTATATTATGTAGCCTATATAGTTCGATTATTTTTTAGATTATTGCGAACGGAAAAAGGGAAGGCAATAAAAGGGTTTTTATTGTTAAAAGGTTTACTGATTTGGCTCAACTTGTTGGAGCTTTGAAAGCAGCTATTCAGTCGTTTGTTCCTGAAGGTATTTTATCAATGAATTTATATTATAAATATATTGGTATTAGAAAGAAATAAGTTTGAAAAACTTGAGTATTATTTGTGCTACACATATCCAGAGCCAGCAGTCGTCGCGCCCTTTTTGCGTGGAGACTGACCGACGTTTTTGCTGGCGCTGGAGTCAAAATTTATTGAAACTTTAAATTGAAGTACAATCGATTAAGTAGTTGGAGTTGGAATAATTGTTAAATCCAAAGTCATTTACTTGAATGTATTTGGCTGCTGATAAGACAAATGTTCTAGATTGGAAGTTTAAATTGACCTAATTAGTCATACATACTATCTATTGTTTTAGCTATCGGTAGAAAAGCAAATCGCCAACTGGAGTTTTCTGAAGTAGGAATATCTGGGACATACAGCACAAGACGAAAAACATCCCGGAATGCGCAAAATAATAAAAGTCAGTTCGGGGTAAGTCAGAAAGTTTCCAAGTTTATGTTTATTAGGTGTGTGCAAGAATACCTGCAGGCCAATCATACTAACATGAGTACTGAAATGGGAGGTCATGGTATTTTCGACATGTCGTTACGTCGGCAATGAATTGAAAAATATTTCTGTTTAATAGAAGATGCTACCATTTACACATCCCATTGTTAGATTAAGTTTTTAATATATATACTACGACATTATATTCTAATAATGAAAGTTGGCGAGAGTGACTGGTTTGTTTGTGTGAATGGTGTGATCATGCGAACTAAGCAGCATTCGAAGCGTGGAAGATTTGCCGTCGTATATCGCGAGAAACTTTGGAATTAACCAGAACCGGTGAGGAAATGTCCTACAATGGATTTCATCTTAGGCTCATGGTCAACGTGGTGATCAAGTTAATGACTCACTTGTAAAAGATATACTTTAACCGCTAATTGATCGCACATCAACGAACTACAAGGGCATCCGATTTCAAAATCAGAGAGTAGGTCGCGGCTCACGGATAATCAATTCCTATTTTGGTTTGGACTTTCAGTAATAAATACGATGTTACCGGTACCTTTCCGAATTCAAAAACTAAACTTCTCTCCTCACACTTTTGGGAAGCTGGCTCCATCCACAAAATTCTACATTCAATCGGTAGGCATGTTCTCAAATTGTTTTCGTTATAACCGCGCGACGGCACGTCTTGGAATCTACGTTGGGTTAGCGCCCTCGAGCCTTCTGAACAGTCACTAATATATCAGGTAGGTACCGACTAATCAAAAAAGACAAGCTCATCATCAAACCAGCCAATTACTGCGTAGATTTTCAGGGGGAATTTAACTTTTTTTATGCGTGAGAGGATTGCCGAACTTCCGAGGATCGATACAGTAAACAGAGTAGAAGGTCGAGGTTTGTATGCCAATTTATCCGCTATATTTCAAAAATCTAGCTCTATAACAGAAGAGATTTTACAATACTCGAAATTACAATCTTTGAATTATTTTATTATCCGAGGTAATATATTCTCGATCTTGAAAATAGTATAGTCTTTTTCCATGATTTAATTTGGCATTCAATTTCGTGACCAACAAATGATAATACAATTTGATTGTGCTTTGAATCAAACTGCACAAAAAAAAATGCATTCGGAATATTTTGAGATTGATTAAAGTGTATTATACAACAATAAAATTCTTAATTATTCATCTTTATTTTGCTCATCTTCCAAAATTTTGACAGCCTCGTCAATTTTTCTGAATAGAAGATAATTAGTAAATGTGTGCAATAATAATATCTTTCTTTCACATAAATACGCTGTTAATAAAATAAGACTACCAATCTCACATAAAATCTAAGCCTAAATATGACTGACAGTGTTAAGGTACATCCCCAGACATCTGAATTAGTAATAGGAGAGTAATATAGGATATATAAAAGAAAAGAAGATTTTGTCGATTCCCGTGTAAGTTAACATCAAATTGGAGCATGAGCCTGTGCAACCGACCGCTCTTTCCTCATTCACTTGGGCGTAATAGGTTATATCATATGTTATGATATACTGGAATATATATATATGTGTGTGTTTTGTGTTTATACCTGTATTGCCATGTTAGGCTTGGTAAAGAAAATGGTCGTATGTCCAACCCACTATCATCAGGATTATAGCTTTCAGCATTACATGATGGAGGCAGTGTTGTCACCTTATGACGATTTACCCCATACGAATGAAAAAAAGCCTTGACCTTGCCAGCAATCTGTAAAGTAACAGAATTGAAACCTGCTATTGTCAATTAGAACTAATAAATTTAAACTAAGAGCGTATTCATTGTCCCTGGTGCGACTCAGTTCAGCACACATCAGCTGCTTATAGCAATTGATAATTTATTCTGGTGACTAGCTCTATTTTCGTCAACAAATTCTTGCTTTCATGAAGTAACAGGTACCTCTTTATCTGTCTTGTCACATAATAGCCTACTTGTTGTGTTTTGTGGACAAGGTAATTGAAAACGAACGTGCGCTTATACTCGTTGTTCTATAGCTGGACGGAGAAGCGGAGGGCGTTCAGCCTTTCTGACGAAAACTATTGGGCATATCAAGTGGGATTCAAGATTCCTAAATTCATTCAAATTTGTGAAAAATTTCAGCCTCAATGATAGGCGATACCTTGCATAAGATTGTGATAATTACCTGGGATATTGAATATATTCCATTCCAAATGTCCATTAGTTTATAGAACATACTGTAAGGTCCACACATCGCTACTTTACGAAGTTTGCCGAGTAAAGAGATTTCACTGTAAGGTATACCTGTTTCGTCAACATTTTTTCAAAGTTAAAAAAAATGATATGTTGAATTAGTGATTGGAGTGAAATATAACTATAGTTGCAAAAAAAATCTCTGATTACATTATTCCACGAGAAGATTGGTAGGCCGATAGGGTGATCCAGATAGCGATTGATTTATATGGATTTTTCTGCCTTCCAAATCCATGCATGTCGTAAAATTAAACAGTAAATTATTATCAATCCCCTTTTCCAAACAGGACGGGAGCCAACTTATCTTTTTTATTTTCGCCAAAAAAATTGTATTGAGAATATTGGTAATTGTAATAAATTGAAGAGCAAAACAATAAAAAATAGGTAAATATTTGGATGCAATTTTCGCGAGTCGCTACTCCTATTAGGTAGTATTTGAGTATTACCTTCAATAGCACAATAATTTGGGGAATCCGGAATATTTTTCAAGACAGGAAGATTGAATTCATCAGTTGCATATTTTATAAATGAATGTAAATGTTCTCTACTTATTCCCCCGATTGGGTTCAGGTCACCACTCGAATTGCCATACCTGATAAGTGTTAATTTACTAATAAATATACAAGGACTTTTACTGCAATCGTAGAAATATTGAACTAACACTTATATAAAACGGTTGTTCTTTCTAGACTGCATGGGTATTATTATAAAAGTTTAGTTTATGTTCACTCGGAGGTTAGGTACACAAAAACAAATTTACCATATCAGTAGTAATTTTAAAAACAACTTTTTACATATATATTCTGGTGGTGGCATCGGCTATGTTTTAACAAATTACTTTAGACGATGTTTAAAATAAAACCCATTCTGATTTTGAAAATCTTTGTAACCGTTTTTATGAGTGAAATTTCCAATTTTCAAAATCAACTTTTCGCATAGATATCATTATCAGATAACAATCAAATAAAAAGGAATTACCTGACTATATTTCCAATCAATGCATCATCTGTATTCGACGATCCCAACACCAATAATCCGGATCCTTGTTTATTCCTTGCCCACATCGATAAATGAGCTAATAAATACGTCATCAGCATCCTGAAAATTTCACTAATTCTATATAAACTAAAGATGAATATCGAGTTTAACCTAATAATATATTGCAATTCTTTATCACGGCATCTTGCAGATACCGGAGAGAGAAATAGTAGATTGGTATAATATGAAGATTGTGAAATTATGAACAATTACTGAATTCAAGGATTTAGCATTTCCTAATTTAAAATTAAAAAAATAGGTAATTTATTGGTAAAACAATTGTCACGAATATGCCAACCCATAGAAAATACGTTTAGACTTATCAATTTTATTTATCACTAAACTAGTTATCATACAAGATAATTCTCTTTTCATATATACTCGGGAAATTTTTCGTTTAATTTTTCTGCCTGGAAATAATGGCCGCTCCTATACCTGACACGATCTCGCAAATTTCGTACTGCAGTGTCTTCTGGACTTTTTCCATGATTTGGAAAGATAGTAGAGCCAACTGTCAAGCATGCTTCAACAATTGAATTTATATTGATGGTGTCGTGATGGTGAGAGCCAATAGATTTGGACAGTTTTGATACAAAAGATCGTGTATCATCTGGAGGAAAGTAAGATTTTTTGCATGACCGAAATATCGGTTAACGAAAAAAGAATTTTTTAAATCTCAACCTATTCTCATACCCGACATAGATTGGTGATCGGACGAGAGGTCGTGGTTTGCAATATGATTACTTCATCTTATCGACTATTTTATCCCAGGGATATATGAGATAAGCAAGGTACTCAGTGCTACTTGTATTCATTGCAAACCTGGTACCGCTATCAGTAACCTGAATAAATAATTTTACCAATACTTTGACTAATCTCCAGATTATATATGTATATATATATATCTTCTAATTATACAGTACATTAAATTGGAAAGTGTATACCTTTAAAACCGCAGACAAGCTATAAAACTATACTCAAACTGTAAAGAACTATTGGATATTACTAAAATATTAAAGTGTAGTTCGTCATTTACCTGACGAATTCTCATCAGCCAAAAAACAAGTAGTCAACAATTCCTGGCAAATTTCTTTGGCATTTTTGGGTGTAAATTCGGGTTTTTTGACTATCCTTCGTAATTCATCGAGAACATGTTGGTTGTCACTCTCAACAGCTTTTTGAACCTACATTAAAATTTGGTACAATATTATTTGAAAAATTATCGTCAGCTGTGAATAGTTTTCACGAAATTCACGGAGTCTGCAATGGTAAAGTAAAGTTGGGAGAGGGAGGGTTAATTTAAAGTTGGGAGAGTTAATTTACAATCTGCGATAAGGACGATCACAGCCATCGTGGCTCAAAAATTAATACGGAAAGGAAAACTGGCGGGAAAATAGAATACTAACATTATTAAGTTGTCGGCCACCGAAACAATCACGCAGACAAAAAATAATTAGCGATTATAACAAAAGTAATCAAGAAAATTCGTGCGGTTGTTGTCGATTTTCTTGGTATTTTAGTACTTTCAATGTTTAGTACTCGACTCCGGTTGTAGATTAGAACTATCCACGATTCGAATATTCGGTATTCGTTAAAAATATTTAAAGTAATCGACTGGATAAATGTACAACCTAGCCACGACTCCAATCCTGTTAGATCACTTTTGAGTCAAAGTTGCAGAATTACAGAAAGAATTAAATCTTTGACATGTTATGTCTATGCATCGTTTCAATTACCTGAACACACATGGAATAAACAAAACAAGCAACAGACGAACTGTCAACTTGGCCATCTAGAGCAAGAAAGAAGCCCGACATGGAACTACGTCGCAGATTATCCCACAACCAAACAGCAGGTCCAAGTGATATTTCTTCCTCGGGTGTGAGAAATCTGAAAAATTTTTCCATAATATAAAAACGGAAATGTTAGGCGACTATTGTTGTTATATTGTTCCTAAAATCTGTGAATGAAATCTGTGTATGAAAGACTTGCTATAATTTTAATAACTATAATTTTGAAGAATGGAGGGCAAACAGCGGTTCAAAGTTAGATTCACATCGCTAAATTACAATGGCTGACGCTGACGGTAGTCAATCGATATTTCTATCAACCAGAAATAGAATAAAAAGATTTTGATACCCATAAATATTCCTTGTGATACCCCTAACAATTTTAAGACGAAAATAATAATAAAATGCTTCACGAGATGACATTGCTTGACTTCTATAAGTGTTGAAAATTCCCATGTATGAAGAAATTTAAAGGGAAAAAGTTTTCTATATTTGTGCGTATTACGTATATTTATAACGTATATTTGTGAACGAACATCAAAATAAAAAATATAGATGCTCTAAGCAGAAGTTAGCCGGCTTTGAGAATCTCAACAATATGACACCTGACTTTAAAAATTGTAAAAGTGATAAATTTCATTTGTCTCGTTGATTGCTATAATTTTTAAAATTAAATGTGGTGTTTTCCAGATTGAATAAGACTACGTTGATTTATTTCACAGTTAACTGTCGGTTTTTAATTTTATAGCAAATTTAAAAACGCAAGTTGCGTTTATTAAAAAGAGTGATCCCCAGCTAAATTATGTGGCCACGATGTGTCCCGCAAGCTAAAACAATTGTCCACTTCTGATTTAGAACGGAGCCAATTGGAATTTAAGCTCAAATCTCGACCAATTTATTACTGATTATTATCAACATACCAATCATTAAATTGATTGTTATATATTTTTGATTTCAATAAAAAGGCAACTGCAAGCATTCTCACCTTGTTTGGATTGGCTGAGAGCACTTTGGAGTAAGTAACAATTTTTCGTCGTCCAATGACACCGAAAAATCTAGATATACTCGAGGATAAGGTATTGAAAAGCTTCCTTGATAAGCAACAGCAGTTATTTTTGCTCTGTAAGTGAAATAAGTGGTATAAATATAGTAACCTATTTTCTATCAGGGTACGCAACTGTATCAGTACGATCAGTAGTCATCAAATCTTCAAATATAAATTTATTCAAGCTAGTTAAAAAGGTAATAATGACATTTTCCAAAACAACAATCTTTACCTATGAGTTCGTAAATCATCCAAGTCAACTGTTGCTGTAATGACTTCAATTCCGTTAAGTGAAAACTGGGCTCCCTGAGCCAATATTTCACCATTCATTGCAATTATCGGTGTTCCATCGCAATAAGTACGGTCTCCATCACATCCAATCAAAGTTGAAAACATGTAAACCACTCCACAGCGGTCGCTTGCTGCTTTTATTATGCTCAACCTCAAGTAAAATTGTACAATTATACAACAAAAACTAGGCATAAACTGGTTAATTTCAACCAAGTACTGATTTGCAAATTTTATCATCAATTAGTATCTTATCTATTAACCTATTTTCCAAGCCTCCAATTTCCAAAAGACAGCCACTTCCATTAGTGATTATTTCACAGCCATCAAGGGACTGGAATATATGTGATGCATTTGGTGCCCACATATCAGCACATATCTCACTACCAATGCAGGTATCTAGGGTTTGTAACAGGCCATCGCCAATCGGTACTCTTGTCTGACCTGAAATATTGAAAGGCTTGGGAAATAATATTATTCGTACAGCATGGCCAATAATATTAGAATAAGATGTTTTTGTATTATAGTACCCAGTTTTTCATCAATTTCCTTCCCTCAAAATTGAAAGTCATTTTCAATCGTTTTGTTATTTTGTAGTTGTTGTTAGTATTCTTATTGTTAATATGAAAAATTAGCTTCTTTCTCTAACTAGTGAACCCAATTGATTTGAATTTTTAAGTGGTTAAAAAGTCGCTAATTGCATTTAATTTTAGTTGAAAAAATTGCATGTGCCCGATGGGATTATTATTATATTATTATGATGGCGTTATCAAAATCAAAAATCGCGCATCATGTGATGGTCCCGCGATCGCATTTCAGCTATTTCGGGATAAGCGAAGTCGGGAGATTTGATAAGTTTGACTACAGGTTCCGGTACTTTGTCGCTTACTAAACTATTTGGTACTATTTTTAGCTTTCGTGTTCATATATTTCCTCTCATGTTGGGTAGTGCGCTACTTCTGTATACACTATAATTTTTATATGGTCAAATTAGGGTAGTTTAAACAAAAAGTTGGATAATAACGTGGAACAAGGTTCTCAAGCACAATCTGTTCAAAATGAAAAGTGATAAAATTAGGCGCAAAATAAATTCAAATACCTGTAACATTCCTAAGTATCTTCGGCAAAGTGAACTCTTCCACTGTCTGATGTTTAGTCCAGGGACAAAACCACCTGTGTTCTCTGAATACACTCTGTTGATTATAAAAAGTATCAAGATTCAATCCAATCAATTATCTATGCACGCCAAACGCCAAGTTCCTCAATGTTTAAACTAAAAGCAGTAACAATGTTATTTTAGGAAGTATAGTATGGCAATATTTATACGGATACGGATACTACAACAATTGATTAGTTCCTTTCATCACCCATCCAAATTTTGACCCAGGCTGGTCGACATTTAACTGGAACGGTGTTAACTTTTCTCCACCTAATCAATAACAGAATAGTACCAGACATTATCTCACCGTATTCGCCATCGCCATTTTTGGTCTGATGAGAAGAATATTCTTGTACATAAATATAACTCTGCAGTTGTATCTGACGTTTTTATGGAGAATTGGCATTCCAACATCACATATCATTGTCTTGGATTCTTCTCGCTCAAGTAACTTAGCAAGAACCTGCAAAAACGTATACACCGATATGTAGGCTACTACACAGTTTTTGTCAAAGAAACCTTTAAAAGCAGAAATAGAAAACCAAAACCTCTGCATAGCTGTGTAACCTCACCGACATGGATCTATCTTAACTGGTATGAAGTCCATGCATCTTTAACAACAATCTGTTTAACTCTTCTTATACCAGACGTAGACTGACAACAGCACAAGAAAGAGACTGTCTTTCTATTAACAGATATGAAAACCCTAACTCCCTAAAATTGTAGTCATAGATCTTGCTAAGACAATATTCAAAACGAGGTTTACAGCACATAGAAATTACGCAAAAATTCAATAGTTAACTGGTACCTCAAAACAATGCTGCATTGTGTCACCTTCATAAAAATGATCACCGCATCCATACCCGGGAATTTCTAGTTCTGGTCCAAGTCGATAAGAAGAACCCCTTTCATGGGCTTTTTCAAAGCTCTTCACAATTCTTGTATAGTTTCCTTCAAAGTCCAAACTCCATTGATTAAGGCAACAGGAAGACAACGTAATTTTTCTCACCATTTTAGTGGCTAAGCATTTGTTACAAAATTATATAATGTGGCTATGAAATAGTAAACGTTCATTTACAAGAGAACAGCGTGGGAAGAAGCGATAACTTCCATATTTTCTCAATACACAGCAAGACCTAATCCGTATGTATCGGCATCCACAACTCATCTGTGATTACGGCTTTGCAGAAATATCATCACGAATAAATCAAAATTTGTCCATTAAAATAATAGGGTTAGTAGGTACCGTAAGTAAGTTCATTTCAAACAATCTTAACTTGACATATACTATGTGCAAATGGCAGTGGCGGCGCGCAATAGGGCCAACCGGGGCAATGCCCCGGTTGTTTTTTCGGTATAATAAAAAAATATTCGAAAAATACCTCAATATCGGTTGCACAGACTGTCTACACTAGCCATATTCTCCCGACATGGTTAATTTTTCGCTCGCAAAGCCTTCGCCGAACGTCGACGGGGCGACGCCGATTTTGCCCCGGTTGCTCATTGTATATCGTATTCTCTCTTTTATCTTCCACTCGCCGCGTTTGTCTCGTTTGTTTTCTGTTCCTTTTACTAAATCATCGGGGCCGATCGGGACTAGCCCCGAAATTATGACGACACAATGCCGACGTTTCTTACAACAACGTGTTGACATATTCACGCATTCCTTCTCGTTCGTTGGTTGCCTGAAGAGTTGATAGTTTCCTCGCCTTCGTTTTTGTCGCTTGTTTCGCTATTTGAATCAGTTAGAGACCTTTAGTCCATTTGCTTTCAATTTTCCACATTCCTTTTGAGCTCCTCATTTCTTTCTGGCTTCGCATTTCTTAGTCCTAGACCTCATAATGAATAAGGTTGATGCACTACTTCGCACTCCGTTTTCGCAGCTGCCGCTTGAACAAAAATTAGAGGTACAACGTCTTGGGCCTTATCAACCAAAAAATTGTTCACTGGAACAATCCCATGACGGAGGAAAGCGTCGGCGTACATTCTGCGCAGAAACTTGGTATAAAAAACACGAATGGTTGTGTTACAGCGAGGACAAAAATGCACTTTTTTGTTTTTATTGCCTACTTTTTGCTACCGCCCGTGACTCACGTTGGTGTAAATTTGGTTTCAGAGATCTTAAACATCTTTCCGAGCGTGCCAGGGATCATCAATCTTCTATGGAGCATCTAGACCAGGGGTGGCCAACCTTTCACATACCATGCGCCACGTTTTAAACATAATGTTTCAGATGCGCCGTAAATCTCTTGTATTCCCACGCCTAATGTCCGCTTCTTGTTGAAATTATATAAATTTATAATACACACACATATATACACACGTATATGTAGTTTTTACAATTTACAACTTCACATGAATAGAAATTGAGCAAGGAAGTATAATAAACAAAACTGATCAATTTTGTTTAAGTACCGCCTTTATGAGACTTTTGCTGCTGTTTTACTTTCGCCAGTTTTTTTTGATTCTTGGAGTTAATGTTGTTACTGAGAAGAGCAGTGCATTCTTCAAATTTAAATCTGTAAGTCTTGACCTCGCTTTGCTTTTAATTAGTTTCATGGCAGAAAATGTTTGTTCACATCTATATGTCGTTCCGAAACGACATATAAAACCCTGGGCAAATTTTCTCAGTTCTGGAAAATTTTCACGGGGTAACGATTGCCAGAACTTAATAAAGCTGTTTTTAACAACGAAGAGAAAAAGGTACGATTAAGAAGTAAAGTTAGGCGTAATATTGTGACAACAGGCCTTCAGTATCAATATCCAATCTACTCTACCCTCGATTCTAATTAGCCTTTGCTAATCAGCTGTTTGGCCTAGCGTCGCGTGATTTTACTCCAGGCTTCTTCGAGATTAGTACTTGCGTCACAGCAAGCAATTTTACGCTTCGCTTTTGTTGACAATGGTCATTTGAAGTTTGGATGAAAAATGCGGTATTTAGGGGTCATTTTCGGCATGTTGTGGGTTGATTTATAATAAATTTTTTAGGCTTGGGCAATTCAACTGGTTGGTCAATGGTTATTGGGAGATATTTGGGAAGTCTGGGCAATGGAAAATCCATGTTTCAAGCTGATAAATGACGATTTTCTATTTTTCCAGAAGTTCTGAACTTTTTACTTCAGTAGGGAAAAAATAGTAAATTTTACTAATTTTTGCTAAAAGTCTAGAATGAATGTCATAAAGTCCGTCCAAAAGCCAACGTGGATAATCGCCTGTTGTTTCTAATTCCAACAAGCCGTAAGTGGGCGACGTGGAGTAAGGAGAATAGATTTTAGGTACGATCAAAATTCACCATGTAAATCGCAAAAAAACGGCTTGGCGTGGAGAAGCCAAGTGCAATTAACAATTTTGGCATGAAAAGAGTTAAAGATGCAATGCGCCACCTCTAATCATGCAATGCGCCACGTTTGGCGCATGCGCCATAGGTTGGCCACCCCTGATCTAGACAATGCAGTAAAATACCGAACATTCGGAAATGTTAATATTGCAGCACAGTTGGATGAAGGACGCGCGGTTTCTATTCGTCGGCACAACCAAAACGTCGAGAAAAACGTATCTCAGAAACACAATGAAGCAAGATAGATTAAATTCCTTGGCTGTTTTATCCATTCACAGAGACGTTATTTCTGGGATGCATGACTTTAATCAGCGCGTTATTGAGCATTTTGCTTCCAAGAAACCGCGGCGTGTTGCATATATGTTCAAGCAGTAGAAGTCTAGCAGCATATATATCTATGAGTAAGCGACGCATGTCCTTATCTTTGCATTAACTTTCCTTTCTTCATAGTAACGTTTTAAACCTTCCGAAGTTTCTGTTAATATGTCATTGTATTTATCTGGGTAAATATTGCCTTTCCTTTTGAAAGAGGTTTCAAAATAAACTATGTCTATATTTATTAATCCCTAGACTTGGACCGGTTTTAAAGACACTTTCTTATCGTTAAAAATTGTCGCTTTTGCCGATTGGTTGTTACCAATGGAATGGTTTTTATACTCATAAAATGATGGGAGAACTTACAGCGCTCATCCTGTCCCCGTAGATGGGGGTGACTTGGTCCCGCAGTAGCTTGCCCCGGTTGTCAAAATGACCACGCGCCGCCACTGGCAAATGGTATAGGTCAATAATACTCGTACTGCGCGATGCTAACTCAGGCTCGTGCTCAAAATTTCAGAACCCATAAAGTTTCTGTTTCGAAAAATATTGCCGTCTTATTCCATTTCCTCAACCCTCAAATTACTATCGTTAAATAAAGAACACTTGACCTTAGGCTTAGGTTTATCTGAGCTTGCCAATCAGACCATGTATGCGTCGTCACAAAACGCTGCGAGCTAGTTTTGCAATCAACGCCAAAGCATAAATAGTGAATGTATAGAATGCGGCCAGTAGAATACTTTTGCGGCAAATAAACATGACATGAGACTTGCAGACGAAGCATTTCCGCGTAAGCTCCTCTTGTCTGTGGGAAATCCGCTCCAATATGCACTTCTTAAAATGTCTTAGCCTGATCAATTACGGGCCGGCATGGTTTGATGCGTGTTTTCCCACATTATTGTTTTTCTGGGTATGGAAGGTCGTTATTTTTGTTAGTGCAGTTTTGGCCCAAGCTTAATTTATCTAGGTTTGAATTTTTTGATTAACTGTTTGGGTGTGTGTGTTGGTAAAATCCTTGTTCTGTCTATATATTATAATGTACAGTTAAAACAAATTAAGCGACTATAAAATCGAAGATATGAAACCATGGGGGTAAAACGGTTTAATAACTAACTTCTGAACTTGATGTTAGGCTAACGCTAACAGTTAGACGAAAGAGTTTAACCCAGTTAATCAACCCATTTAGGAAAGGATTTACATATTCATCCCGCGGGGAGAGAATATGATCTGACGGCTTGATCATATGGCGAACCACGGCCTCCCAACCGACTACTAGTCCATGTTGGGTACGGGATCGCTTAGCCCAGGGGTTCTCAACCTGTGGTTCGCGAGAATATTTCCAGGGGTACTTGGGTGGCAGTCGAGTTTTGGTGTGTTGCTGTTTTTTAATATCCTTTATTACTACCAAAGGAAAATGCGTGCCCATTGAAATGGTGATTTTTCCTGATCTTGTGTACTAGTCAGAAAAAAGGTTGAGAACCCTTGCCAGTTATTTTCTTCATATGCGTGGACCAGATGGAGGAGGAAGCCGTAACCGACCAGCGGTACGTAAACCGCCCTGCGGCTGTGAGGAGTTCAGCAACCGTCTCTCAAACTCGAACCTGCAAACCTACGAAAGGTACGGTAACCAAGCCTGTTCCTAACGCTTAGCACGATGCACCACAATCTACAATAACAGAGGTACACGATAAAAGCACCCTACGGAAGAACGACATAATTACCTGCAGGGCTAAAATTATATGGAGTGATAAATTTTGGTAAAGTTTAAACCCAACCTAAAGCATTGAATATGGACCAGTTAACTGATAACTATTTCCATTCCTGACTGGTCGATGACAGAACATGGTTCGCCACATGACTGAGCCATCTCATTTCCTTTCATCTCGACATAAAAATCCCAACCTAACCTCACACAAACAGTAAACATCGGTAGCTCAAAACCATTATTCGCAACTTAGAAAAATGACAGAACTCAATTACAGGCCACCATGTGACAATCAGTCGTTCTTAGTTTCCACTTCAACACTTCCATGATCATCGTTAAGTTTTTTTTGGGCAGATAAAGAGAGATCCGTTTTCATGAGTTCTCGTAACGCAACAGTAGCATAGCATGATGAAGGAAGGCTGAATTGTAATCTCATTGCTAGGAATTTCCCATCTGGCACATTTGTAGTCTCTTCAATATCATTCAATTTTTCAAGGTCAGTTTGCAGCAGGGGCACCGTGTAGTCATCATAACGAATAGTGTCATATTCTACACGCGATGGCAGGGTAACTATATTTCTGTATGCACCAGGTAAAGAATAATCTTTCACTTTATGCACCATGTGTATATCTATATTGATATCATCCTTGAGCATGATCTCTTGATACCAGTTTTTGACAACATTTTCAGGGTACTTAACATCATGTCCTGGGAGGGGCAATAAAACATCTTCAATTTTGAAAAGTTCCAAGTCTTTTTCTGTGAGAAATTTTATATCTTCCGATGAGCATTTTATTGAATTTACGTCATCCTCTACAGAGACTCTTTCAGAACGAAGTTTCTTTACTGGAGGCTCATCTTTATCGCCGTTAGAAGAAATTCTGTTTTCATACACATCGGCAAGAACAATATCTCCTGCTAATGGTTTAAATCCAAGCTCCTTAACACGTTTACTGGCAACTTGATTCCATATATAACTTTGATAAGCATGAACATACATTTTTCTCATGTTTCGGGGTATCGTAGTAATCGCTTGTAGAAGTTGCGTTTTCCCGAATCTTTTAAGCCCTTGGAGTAAAATACCTTCAATTGAGCTTTTATACTTCAGGCATTTCAAAGCAGCATCTACATCACCAGACTCTAAATATTCCTTGAGTGCTCTATTAAGATTTATATCAGTTTCATCATCTCTCGGCTGCAGTAATAAATTGACAACTTCTTGCCATTTGCTTTTAAGTATTGCGATTCCGACCACATGAGTTGGGACGGATGTCGTGCCAAACCTCTGCAACCCAAAATAATTTATAAAACCATTTGTTGTGAATGACTCAAATGCGGTTGCAATATCTTTTTCAGATCCAGTGATGTTTCTTATAACAATAGTAAAGTGGTTTCCTCTTAATGATCCTAATTGCAAAGGCTTTGAACAGTACGAAAAATTTCCAACTTTGATGTTTGTTTTTAGTTTATTCAATCCACGTAGCCTTTCAGGTGCAACTGGGGCAGTGACAAGTTGTGCTGTGACAGCTCTTTTATCCTTAGTGCCAGCATACTGAAAACCATTTGCCTTGTGCAAATGAAGACATTTAGCCATTTGACTTATAGCAGACATAGTTCCAATGTTTCGTTTGAATAATACAAACTTACAGAGTTGCTTTCGAGGATAAAGTCTCTTTTTATTTTGACCTCTGCTATTTTCGGTCGCTCTTGTCACTTTGATTACTTTTTCGTTTTTGTCAGAATCATCAACAGTACGGCTTTCAAGTTGAGGATGGAGGTAACGAATAGCTTGATGAATTTTAGCTCGTTCATCTTTCGAGGCACCGCCTTTAAGAAACACATGTTCAATTTCTTTGTTATCTACCAGAGAAAGAAGCTTCTCTTTGCCTTCATCTGATAATATATCAACAATTTCTTCTTTGTTTGTATTTTCTGGTTCTACTTTAACTTCATTTTTTGGTAAATTGCAGGTGACATCCGTGAGATGAACAACTTGATCATTTTCATCTATTTCATTTACCAAAAAATCTTGAAATCTCATTTTAACGATTCCACCAAATCCTTCATGTGGATTCAAATAACTTGTAATGCCTACATCACTATCTTGTCTACAACTCATGATTGTAATTATAAGGTATTCAACTAGAAATAATAAGAGATAGACAAATCAAGTTTAAAAAATTTCCAACTTATATAGTTATGTCAAACTTGAGAATTACATGTATTCCGTGTTTAATTTGCAATTGTATAATTTCAATCATTAGGCAATGAAAAAAGATAAAATTTCAAATATTTGATTCTAAATGTAACGTTAGCAAAGTTTTCAGGAAAATCTTGTTTCAATTTGTACATAACTTTGACCTCTCAATGAAGTTTTTGCAATATTTATCGATTCCAAAATTCTTAACTCAGTTCTATGTAACGTGCATTTGAGATGGAATTAAATAAATTGAGAATTTCATTGTATCATATGAGAGAATAGATAATAGAATATTTTTGCAACAATCATAGAGCAAGCAAATGTCTTATAATATTTGTATATAGTATTTCATCAGTAACATCCAAAGTGAGACAGTTGTCAGTGGGCTACAGGCAAATGATCTGAGCTGGCAGAATACCGTAAAGGAGTGTACACTTTCAGTTTATCATGCTACCAAGAAAATAGCTAAGTAGTGTACAATTCCATAAATCTTAAAATTTTGTCAAGTATTTAAAACTAATATGAAATTAGTGCTAAGTAAATAAAAGAAATAACGCTTATATTGGAGATACAAACTGTTAGTGGATTGGCATACATCACTTTGTAAAACTTTAAAATTCCACTGTTGTGAGATTTCACAATGTCGAATCATATACAGTAACTACATCATTAAGATTGATAGGCCACTAAAATGGATATGGTTCACAAAGGAGAAGTTACAATGTAAGCCTAGCTTAAGGTGACAAAATAGCAATTAGACTCAGATTTTCCCAAGAATTCCAGTGTAAACTTGATCACAAAAAATGTTCCTCCACAACAAAAGATACATTTCTCATTAGTATGAAATATTTATTTAATAGCACAATGCTGAAATGTGCTCGAAATAATAAAAAAAATATTGAAGAATAGATTTGATAATTGTTAGTAAAAAAATAAACATTGATTCAAAAAAGCATAAAATCTAAGGCTATACGGTATGGATAAATATTAAATTATAACATTCGCAAATTCGCGAGCAAAAACCTACTTAACAAGCATAAATAGAAAATTGTACAATTCATTTGAAACTGTCACAATTTAGAAAACTCAATGGATCACAAAATTGACCCCAAACGAGTTAAATCGTAAATGTTCATGAAACAATACATTTCCAGACACAAATCATAAATTCAAAGTTTGATGAACTAGAGATGCCATCAATAGTTTGTGGATTCGGAAAACCAGTTAGCACCAATAGTATTTTTAAAGTCATCTAAAGTTGATCTGAACAGTTGGCATTCATTTTCTTTCGCTTCTCTCTAGAATTTTAACTGACTCGTCAATTTTCCTGTAACAGAAGAAAGGCGTTATAATGTCAAATACAAGGAATAAAATTGAGTACAAGTAGGAAATCCTTAAAATGTTTTTATAAGTTGGAAAATTTAAATAAGTGAACTCAGCATTCAAGTGAACCCACAAAACCTATACAGTGACTCTTGAATCCAGGCCGATGCCCCCGAAGGAAATTTCAAGTCTGACTCCAACTCCAAACCTCCCAAAAAAAACTAATTTTGATAACAAAACTTCAGACTTTTAAGAGCCCTACTTAATTAACCTACCCTAACTTAATTTTGTTCCTAGAAAAAAGCTTTTTCTGCAGCATATTTGACTTTGATTATCACCAAGTCTGAATTTTAAACCTTGATCACGAAAAAATAAAACTAAACCGATATGTTAAGAGACCAACAGTATAGTCACAGCTAGTTTTTTACATGAAATGAAAAGCCTCACCTATATTGCCATGTTAATCTTGGATATAAGAACTGTCGTAGATCAAATCTGTTATCATCCGGACTATAATTTTCGGCATGATACGACGGAGTTAAAGTAGTCATCTTATGTCGATTTATGCCGTATGAATGAAAGAAGTGTTTGACTTTCGCTGCAACCTGTTGATGCATTATTGAAAATGAAAACTATATTGACGAAACAGGTGAAATGCCACTGTTCTTCAATAGTAATACAAACCTAATGATAAATTGCCAAAACTTGGCGACTTGTTCTTTTTGGGGTCATTTAGGCAATTTTGGAGTTAAAAACTTGAATTATTTGAAAATACATCCATACCATAAGTCAGGGGTGGGCACAATTTTTTAGTATAAGAGCCGCATGATGCAAGTCAGAACCTTGAAAGAGCCGCAGAATTTGTGAATTTATTAATATTATCGAAATACCATGAACAGAAAAGAAATTCACACAAGAGTCTAATAACAATAAATAGATAAACAAGGCAGCTATACTCAAATATATGCACAATTTGAGCACATTTAATTTGTGTTTCCTTATAGCTGATTTACGAGGGTAGTCTCGTAAGAGGTTTTCATGATTCGTTCCATGGTGCTGTTTAACATTGATGACTTTATTCTGACTTAGTAGCTTATGACAGATTAAACACAAAGGTTTATTCTCAAGACTGGTAAATGCGTATTCTTCTTCCCATTCTGACTTGACAACTCTGTTTTCATCTTCGTACTTTCGTTATTTAATTGAGGACATATCGCACAGTAACTTTTTAGACTAACTAACCGCAATCAAGCTGCAATACCGCCGACGCATCAATAAACATTGACGATTGTGACGAAAGATTTGCTGACTTGACTGTCTTAAATTCAAAATTCATCGCTACAGCGATTTTCATACTAAAACATAATTTGTCCTAATCATTGACCAAGACTTCTTTACGACTTTTATTAAATCAAAAGAGTTTACATTAAAGTTTTTCTCTTAGTTAAAATTTGGATAATAATTTATGTTAGCGAGAAGAGCCGCACAAAAAGTCTGGCGAGCCGCATGCGGCTCACGAGTCGCAGTGTGCCCACCCCTGCCATAGGTATTAAATTTTTTATAGTGTACATTCTATTCATGTCCATTCCATGGGGTATGCGCATATTTAGAGATAAGGTAATTTTCGATACGACTCATTCTCAATTAAGTCTATATGCTGGGTATACTCAATATGTAAGTTTATACTTTGTTGTACTATTTTTGCAACAAAGTGAAAACTATATGAATCAATCTGGTGATAACAAAATAAATAGTTAAATAAGTTCAACTGTTTAAATGATAACATTAACTTACTTGAGATGGAGAATGAAGGCCTTCCCACATGTGTAATAGCTTGCAGAACATACTATATGGACCACAAGCAGCTATTTTTCTCAATTTACCATAGATTGATAATTCATCATATGTCATCCCCATATCCTGTTCATCAGTTTGTACTAGCTCCCCTTGAAATGAGAAGAAATATTTACATTCTTTCCATTGAACTGACATGGCACGAAGTTTATATTTATCTCGAAGAGAGAACATTTGATGGAAATGTTTAAATCACTTATCAACAAAGGGGTGACCCTCAAAATCTAATACAGGTCACTTAGTCACATATTCTAGAGAGAACAATAACTTTTGTGCAGAGAGTTCTAGATTACTGAAGATTTTGGTTACAAATAGATTTTCTTCTTTTTCGCATAAGTACCGGTGAATAAAAAATTTATGGGTTCTGTTTTTGGAGTCACCCTGAATATGTCAAACCAAACCAGTTATTGGTTCAGGTCCAAGGATAGGTAACAAGGTCAAAGTTTATGTAACGGAAAGGTTGAGAGAAGTTTAAGAGAATACAACTTACAAGAACCATTCAAAGCTACATTTAATTTTCTACAAACAATGATTTCAGCAAAGGGTAATTAATCACTGTCAATTCAATCGTATTCAAATTGCTTTAATACAGCATATTTTATATGACATCTTTACATGGTTGTCACTCTCGACTAGGCTTGCACATGCAGCTACTGGTATAATAATTGAAAAGCTAATAAAAAATCTGGAATCTGATCGTTTCCACATTGCCTACACAATTTATTTTACCCTGCGTGAAGTGGTGGTTGTCATGGTAATTCAACCAGATATTTTCAACCTAAGATGCAAAATTAATGTATAATGGCTCGCCAACAATTATCAAATAATTTTATATATATTTGTTTCACTTATCATTGAATACATTTTGATGAAGATATTATTTTACCTTCTAAAAGTGGTTCGAGTTCTGCAGTTGGTGGTGCTTCTATCACTTCCTTCAATGGTGGAATGTTAAAATTGTCAATTGCATATCTTATAAACGATCTCAAATCTGTTTTACTGATTCCTCCAATAGGATTGAGATCAGCACTTGAACAGTCATACCTTTGAATTGAAAAGAAGACTATGTGACTAGGATTCCTTGTTCAATTATAACAAGAGAGCAATGCTTAAATATATGGACATAAAAATCTACTGACGGCGCTCCAGGAGGGTGTGTACCAATATGGAGGTAATTAATTTTGCTCGCCTACTTTACATCAAGTTGTGTAAAGGGATTGAAACCTATGGGCAGGGGGTATATTCATGTGGCTAACACAGACAGTCCACAAAATGGCTATAGAACTAAAATGAGGGAAAATATGTATAAAATTATGGCCTAACCTGGTACACACACTACGGGAGTACCACATTGACTAACCGCAGTACTAGTAGTCGATATAACCTATACAGAAATCAATCAAAGCCTATAAACCAGTATCAGTGGTGCCCAAAGTTGATGACCGGAGACCAAAATTAGAAGTGGAAGGATATTAACGGGCTGAGAGAGGGGAGCGCCTCAAGGGGCCAATACCGGTACGTACAATTTAGATACAGGTATAATTGAATTGTTACGAATATACACATGCTTTCAAACTGTGATAATGGCGTGACAATTAGCTGTATCTAGAACGCAAAAAGGTAGAACACATAATGTGTTCAACTATTTCACTCAAGATCGCTCAGCAGGCCGTAATTGGCCGGCGTGCCGCGATATGAAAACCACTGCTTCAAATCAAAATAACTAAAAACAAGGATCCCCGAAATAGCAATTAACATCGTGATTGGTAAGCCATAACATAGCATTGAGCACCAGCTTTTGAGTTGTTATCTTAATGACGTATAAGATTTTATAACACAAAAAACAGCATACTTTGTAAAGTATCCTCTCAATGCTTCATCCACATTTGCTGAACCAAGCACCAACAGACCACCTGGTTTATTTCTCACCCACATTGATAGATGTGCAAAAAGGTAAGCCATCACCATCCTGAAAACATCAAGATCATAATGACGGATTTGTACAAAACTAAAGAATGAAAAAAAATGAAACAATTCACCAAAATTTAAAACTCTCTAGTCCACCGGTTCTCAACCAGTGGTCCATGGCCCACTTCTGGGCGACACAGAAACATTTTCAGGTGAGCCACAAACCTATTAAAAATTGCTTGAGTTACTGGTAAATTCGTTAAATTAGATTGAATGATGATGCCGTTTTTTTTTTTTGCTACGGAGTTGTAATTCTCATTTTAATTATTAAAGTGGAAGTGTCTATCTGTTGGAAAATAATTTTATTTAATTTTTTTTATAGTTTTACCCTTGCATGAGAAAGTTACTGGGGCACAGAAAATTTTTTGTGCAACGAAAGTGTGCCACAAAAGAAAAAAGCTTGAGAACTACTGCTCTAGTCTCTATACACTGGATGAGGAGTCAGAGTCTAGAGAATAGCAGTTTGGCATGTTTTAATAGATAATGGAGCTCGGAAATAGTCATAAGTCAGGTGTCGAGGACAGCTATTTGGACTTTTAGTGGTGACAATTGTGTCCAATTTCAGACATAAACACAAAGCATTAAGTACACTAAGCATTCCTAACTGACAATTGGAGAAAGCTTGAATCCACCAAAGTTATTTGTTATCAAAAATTTGGTTTTCTCAAGTTTGAAATTGAAGCCAACATTTTTCAAGATAAAACTGGAACCAGAGACAAGAGTCAAACTATTAGTTAGCCCAGAGTTGAGAATCATTTTGAAACTGGCTCAAGTTTAGAAGTTTGGTGTCAATAATCAATATGCCTCCACAGCCCTGCCCTATATAGATAAATAAAGAATGTCACAGTTTAATATTTGATTATCTGAATATCTATTAATCTTTTAAAGTAAAATTATAACTTTTCAGTATTAGGGATGCAGACATGCAGTGATGTATGTTGTCTTTCATAATTATTTTAAGCAACTTCGTTTTGAACCCGTATCTATAATTTACAACGTTCAGTGGTTAAGTACCGATTACCGAAACGATTTGTTGTTGTGGGCCAGCGTGCTAAGCGTTAGGAATACACTTGCCATCACACCAATGATTACTCTGTGTAGGTTCGCTGATTTCTGTTGTAATTATGTGCGAGAGGATTGCCGGACTCATAGCCGCTGTGGGGTGGGGTGGTTCATGTATGATGTATGACTGATCTGTTACAGCAGATTTTTTTTCCTACAGAATAAATATGTAAATCCTATCCTAGATTAAATGAATGGCATTCAAACATATGCCAATCTTTGTTTCTATCATCGAAAAGCTGTTTAGTTAATTTTGTATTTTGTATTATATACCTGGTTCTTGCTTGAACATTCTGCAAAGCAATGTTTTCTCTGTCTGTTCCACCATTCACTCTGAATTTTGGTATAAAACCAGTTACGGATGTGAAGACCATGATGCATGCATTTACTACGGCATCAACGTTAATATTGTAATGATACGAACCAATGCATTTTGCAAGACCAGACGCACGAGAACGAGTTTCCACTGAAATAATGCAAATGGTCTCGTTATCACAGAAAAGAGCAAAGTGACATTTTGCAGGACCATACAGCTGGAACAATGAAAACACATCTGGAAAAATACTTGGATTCTCACTAACTAAAACTATCGGAGTAATATTGTATTAGAGTTTGATAGGGCAAAAAAACGCACAGATTTCCTAGGTTACAAGCAGGAGAAGGCAACGATAATACTCCACGAGTCCACGTTCACAGTAATATTGAAATAGCTCAATTCTGATTGTTTCATTATCATATCAAATTTAACCATCTTATAATCATGGGGCAACACTCATTGCCATAATATAAAAAAATTACAACAACAAAATCTATTTTATTCATGATTTGTGTGCACTTCACCATGCTCAATGAGTTTCGATTCATCAATTAAACAAGATCAGAATAAGATATTTTCAATCATGAAAAGAAGGAAACCTAATAGACAGCCTATCATATGGTGGACTAGTTGTCAATTGACGTCGGGTATGGAAATATTTAACCAATGTATTATGAGAGACTAAATTATGGGCAGAATGCCAGAGCCATCCCGTAATAGTAAGAAGCACAGAGATTTTTCTGCACAAAACTATTCTCCATTATACTCAACTCACCTGAAGAATTTTCAGTAGCCATATAACAAGTTGTAAAAAGTTGTTGACAAATTTCTTGGGGATTCTTTGGTAAAAATTCTGGTTGGTTTGTTATTCTTCTCAACTCGTTTAAAACATGTTTATTACAATTTTCAATGGCTTTGTGCACCTGAAATGATACAAGTAAGATTTATATTTTCAAATTTTGACAAAACAAAGTCATGAAGTAAAAGCATTCATAATAATTTATTCGCAACTACAAACATATATCAGTTGAAATTAAAATTTTGAATAAAGCGATGTTAGTTTTCATTCATAAAATTTCACTCTCAAATTTTTCAACTCTGAGTAAAAAGAAAATTCCGCAGAAGTAGATTTCAGTGAGCCAGAAAATATAGTCGAACAACAAATATTTATTAACAATATTGACAATTTATTCATTTTCTATTATAGTTATTTGCTTTGTTTCTCCTAATAATTGGTTAACTATTTCCATACCCAACAAGGACTTTTAACAGGACGAAAGACTATATGAATAAGCCGTCTTATCGACTTTTCTCTCTCCCGGGATAAATATGAAAAACCTATCGTATCATGTACCTGAACACACATAGAAAAAACAATACAAGCAACAGATGAACTATCAACTCCTCCACTGAGAGGGAGAAAGAATCCAGACATGGAACTACGACGCAAGTAATCCCACAACCAACAAGCTGGTCCGAGTGCGATTTCTTCTTCCGGAGAGTGATATCTAATATTGAGAAATTTATATAAGTGGAAGCGATCACATAATGGTTAAAGCATTGGCTTCGGAGGTTTAAAATCACAAGTGTAAATCCCGTGCCCACTATGATCCAGAGTGTAATAAATCAAGTGAGCAATGTCTGACTGGAAAGATTCTGGTCCTTCCTTGTTCAGAATCGAAGAAACATAAAATTGTTCAAAACATCAATCTATTAATTAAATATGGACATTTGGTCTTAACAATTCAGATGCCAAAACAATTTTTTTTCATCAAATTTGTCATTTTACCAATTCATAAAAATTTTCTCTGAGTAAAAAATCAAATAAATGATAAAATCCTAAAGAGCAAATTATTATCAAGATATAAACATTAATCAACATTAAACAAAGACATGTACAGTTATTATTACCTTACTCGAATTGGGGCAACAGAAGGAATAGCAATTGCAGAATGTTGGTCATCTGCTGACAAAGAAAAATCAACTCTAACTCTTGGATAAGGACTAGATTTTGTTGCTTGAATATTTCGACTCGATATTTCAGCCCTGTACATAGTAAAAATACATCGAAAGACCATTTGAAAATGATGATACTCTTTTATATACCGGTAAGTATATATAGGGTAAAAATATATTCAAAAAATGGAAAGGAATAATTGTTAGAATTTATAGCCTTTTCATAGATTTATTAGTGAGTAATAATATGTAAGGACAAATTCACTCATGAGCAAAGAGACTAATATTTGCTAATAGAGCCCATATAGGAAGGTATTAAATTAGGTAAAATAACTTTGTGCTTTTTGCAAATAATGGCAGGCATACAAAGTTGTAATAAATGAGGTAAAAAATTTTTATTACACAGAGGAAAATTAAAAAACCGCTTATTAAGATAGGCTATACTGAGAACTGAGTTTCAAAATCGTAACCAAACTTTATGAACACTGTGGAAACTGCATTTATTATATAGTGATATATGAGTATATTGGTATGGAACTTCAAACATACAGAACAGTAGAAACGTACATAATATCATCTTGAAGAAACTAGTTATTGTGATTTTATAAATCAAGTAAGCCAATTGTTCTATTAACATTGACAAAAATTAAAAAATGAAAAATTTCTTTACACTATCTTTGCATTGTAACCTTAATTATGGTAAAATAGATACTAATGTTCATGATAGCTACAAATTGAAAATATACTCAACCATACAATTCATCGTACACCCATCAATCACAAAAAACAACCGTTTTGTGTATTTATATCTTCTAATTGTCAATGATAAATGAGACAGAAAATAGAATCAATCATTGGTTTAGCTCAATGGTTGAATAAGCAAGATAATTACTAACCACTGTCACATAACTAGATATCTTTGACTTGTAAATATCGCATGTGAGGGATATTCGAAACAATAAAATGGGTAGCTATTCCCACCCCTGCTTCGCACTAATGTGTTTATGAAGCTGGGTATTGTGGGGTATCAGGGTTCCCCAACATTGGAAGTAATGGATCACCTTTTCATTTATTTTAATTCTAACTGCATCTTCTAATTCTCCATCCTATAACTACCTTCTAAAAAGCCATTCCCGATCTCGAAAGGTAAGTCCATATTTCACACTTGACTGGTGTAGCTATTTCCCTTTCCCTCAAGGTATATATAATAAACTATCATATAACCACTGGGCCATCAACCATTTTAAATCAAATAGAAAATTATTGAATCAGTTTTTGAATCGCCGGTTTTGCTGCCATCTTGCTTTATTTACTACCCACCCAAAGGTTGAGGTGAACGTGAATCCCTCATTTGTTTTCATTTAAGCCATATTTTTCCGAGTGAGTTGTTGATGAAACATGTTCTTATTGTGTGTGAACACTCAGCTAACTGTCCGAGTGATGGAATATGTGTTTACAGTAGTCTATGTGTCTGGTAAATATAGTTATATTGTATATTAAAGTGAATAATCAAATACAATCCCATATCTTCCAGGTATCCAATATTCGGTTCAATTCAACAAAAATATTAGATTCACTTCGAAAAAAATATTTGATTTGATTCTGAAATCATCAGATATTCAAAAATGTCCAGCTCTAAGAACCATGAATATAAAATTATCAGGATACGCCAATGAAAGTTTTTTTGAAAAGATAAAATAACTATTAATCAACCAATACATACTTACTTATAAGCTCTGATGTCCTCTAGGTCCACAGTTGCTGTGACAACTTCAATTTCATTGAGTGAAAATTGAGGTCCTAGTGCTACAATTTCACCGTTAACAACAATTACTGATGAACCATCATAATATAAACGATCTCCATCACAACCGATCTGGTTTGAGAACATGTATACTCCACCACATTTTGCAGAGGCTGATATGATGAGCTCCATTCTGAGTTGTATAACACAATAAAAATTAATCCCACAATTGCAATATAATATGTAGATGGTAGAGTTCTAATAAACATCCCAAACCTAAATTACACTACATAGGTTTGCAAATTTGAATTCAGTTGAACTGATTATGTGCAAGGGGCGGATAGTTCCTCGACCTACTATATCTATGCATATAGATTAATAAACCTGTTGGCTATTTACAGACACGTGGACTGGTAATCATGCGTTAATAAGCTATGGAAAGGCCACAATATGATAATAGTATTTCTGGAATATTTTGATAAATTCATCCTATCATAGGTGGAAAATCTAGCTAGATTGTTATAAAGCTTGATTTGTCAATGGCAGTTTTATTTGAGTAAATTAGACATGAAAATAAACCATTGTTGATTCGAGTCCATTACTGCCATAATATCTTATTATCTGGCATTTACTTCCCAAATGTACATCACATACCGCTTGTTCAACTTTCTTAATTGATGATGACTTCCACTTGCATTTACAATTATTTCACAACCATCCAATGACTGACTGATGTGAGATGAGTTTGGAGACCAAAGTTCTTCACATATTTCATTCCCAATACAAGTGTCGATTGTCGACAGAAGGCCATCTCCGAATGGAACTGACGTCTGACCTGAGACAAAATCAGTTCCTTTATACCGTTTTTTCATAGGAAACATAGAATTGTTTTTAAACCTTGTAAGCCTTTTTTCTATCCTGAAAGATGATGTGATTTTCCCACATGACAGGTTTTATTTTCATTCGGAAGAGGTAAGTCTTAATCAGCTAATTAGTAGTCATATTATGGTGAACAACCACCTTCCGTATGATTACCAGCCCAATTCTGATGTGGTAATGGCAAACCAGTTAATTTCTACAGATGGACTTGGACAATGGAGAAAGCTGGATGATGGAGGAAACCATATCCGCCAGAAGTTGTTAAAATTTCAATAATATTCTTCTCGCAAGTAGAGTAGTAGCATGCCATATTTAATTTTTTGAGCTCCCTTGTATTGTGGGCTACCTTTATTGATAAAACACCAAGACTTCCAAACATTATTATCAATTTCGTCACAATTGATTTGATATTTTATATTAAGGCAAATTTATTTATCACTATATTTAAACTGCATGATTTGTCATTTCTTGTCATTGTTGTAAACGGTTTGCCTGAGAAAGTCTGACGAAATGTTACATAAATACATTGGTGTTAGTGTGCAGCAGGACTCTTCGAATTGCATACAGTCATGTTTATTCCTGCTACAGCATCCATGCATTATACACATATATGGATCCACTAGCATAAAGGCACAGGGGAAGGATAGGCAGTTAGTCTTGCGCAACATAACTCATAATTATTATCAACAGTAGTATTTTACCTGTAATACTGCTTATTATCCTGGGTAAATAGAAATCTTCCACAACTTTGTGCTTAACCCATGGACAAAACCATCTGTATTCTCTGTAGTTATGCTGAAATATAATTTAGTCTATAAATCTCATAAAAACAGCAAGGTCAATAAAAATAAATGGGCAAATTTTCACTTGAATCAATTGCCCAAGTAGGTAGGTACCGATGTTCAGGATGAAATAGCCCCGTAAAAAATACATTCACAAAAATATATTTTGTTTGTCAATAAAATTTTACACAAAAATGAGTGAATAAGGTTCTTAAATTTTTACAATTAATTTCAATCTCACTTGATTTGCCAATTCCATTTTTGGTCTGATGAGAAGAATGTTCCTGTACATGAATATAACTCTGCAGTTGTATCTGACGTTTTTATGAAGAATTGGCATCCCAACATCACAAATCATTGTCTTGGATTCTTCTCGTTCAAGTAACTTTGCAAGAACCTGAAATTTAACATAATGAATAAACAAAAATGCATCGCCAATGTTTTAGTCGTAAATCATCACTACAACTGTCACTGTGACTAGACTTACTACAGCAGTAGCACTTACAGCAGACTTCTGGACTTGGAGGCACAGGATTCATGTTAAATTTAAATCACAGAATCAAGTAGGCTACAGGTAGCATTGCACAGAATCCAAAATTCTCACCTCAAAGCAATGCAGAATTGTGTCACTTTCATAAAAGTGATCTGCACATCCATAGCCACATATTTCAAGTTCAGATCCTGATCTATAGGCGGCACCTCTTCGATGAGATTCTTGAATGCTTTTTACGATTCTGTTATAATTTCCTTCAAAATCTAACGCCCACTGACCCATACCACAGACAGCCAATGTAACTTTTCTACCCATGCCCGTAGATCTAAGTACGATATCAAAGTGTTTTATTCCGAAATCAAACGAAGATCTCGGAGTACTGGAGTAACAAAAGAGGAACTCCAAAGACAGACAGAAGGCAGGAGCGACGGGTCGTATGCCTCATTAATAAACGCATGCGTTTGTATGTCTTCTATTGGTTTTCGTTGACATCTAGCGGCCCGAGAGGAGAGAGTTATTTTATTTCCACAAACAATGAAAAACAATATACAGATATAAAGGGGAAAATAGGGGCTGTCTAATCGTAAATATATACTACTAGGTCTAATAGCTAGGAATACAGATTGTGCTGGAAATTCATCTCTTTAAATAATTCCTAAGCCGAATTTGCAATCAAGTCCATGCTTCCGAAAACAGATAACTGGCGAACTAATCCCGGCGGTGTGGCGCGTCGTGCTAAGCGCTAGGAATACGCTCGCCACCGCATCTCTGATTATCCTTCGTGGGATCGCAGGTTCAAATCCCATGCTGGGATGATCATGTGCGAGAGGATTGCTGGACTCCTCGCCGCCGTAGGGTGGTTCACGTAACCGCTGGTCGGTTACGGCTTCCTCCACCATCAAGTCCATGCTTCCGAAAACAGATACCTAGCTGACTAATCCTATACCCGACCTGGTAACCGGACGAGAGGCCGGGGTTCGCCATATGTTTAAGCCGTCTTATCGGCTTTCCTTTCCGTCGGGATAAATATGTAAATCCTATCCTTATCCCATACCCGACATGGACTGGTACCGCTAACCGGTCGTGGTTCGCCAATTGATCACGCAGTCTTATCGAATTTCCCCCTCCCCCGGGATAAATATGTAAATCCTATCCTATCCTTCAATGCATTGCTAATGACGATTAAAAAACTTTCCACTTCTATATCATAATCCAAAGTAATACAGTTTGAAAACTCGACTCCTGTGAAAACATTCCAGCTCCGACTTCACGTCCCGGCTCAAAACCCATACTGGTCGTTTTGGATAAAAAATAACTCGAACTGACACATTTTTGTATCATTACCTCAAGCTATATTATACTGAACAGTCATTTGCACAAACATGAATCCCTCGCCCGATCAAAGTTAGATTTCGCAAATTTCTGATGAACTTAACAGTATGAATAACGAAAATAATTATTTATATGGAATACACATCAAATGAATATTGCAATATATACGTGTGTGAAAATCAAAAAATAGTATATATAAAGAAGCTGAAATAACAAGCATAACGAAATACAAAGTTTACATTTCATTTAGATTAAACAAATTTCACCAGAAGAAATCATCATTATAAAGAAAAGAAATTCAATGCAAAGTTTACAGAAAAGAATATTTTTAATAACGTATACATGTTTCATTCTAGGAACGTAAAGTGAATGGCCTTTCTGGTTGTGATAGGTGTATTGTTTGGACATTAAACAATTTGCGATACTGTGGAATGCTAGAGGTTAAATGGTTTATTATAGAGGCAATCGAGTGGAGAAATTTTGCCTAAAGGAGAAGGTTTTTCTATTCTCATGAAACTTGGGATATTTCGCTCCTCGATGTCACAAAAATTGTAATCAGAAACATCATCTTTCTTGTACATTTCATCGAACCAATCACAGGATTTGGAGCGTGTTAAAGCAGGAGAAAATCCCTTCAATTTCTTGAAACTTGGCTTATGTAAATGTAGGTTTTTGTAAGAATCATTCTTCGAGTCAGTAGCGTCATTTACCGTCAACATTTCATCAAACCAATCACAATCTTTACACCATTGTGGTAAATGTCGTTGTTTCTTTCCTTTACTATTTCCTAAAAATGAATGCAGTGAACAATGTGTAGACAAACGCACCGAAAAAAATTTGATGTCGGTTATGTCCATTGGTCTGATTCAAGGGTCCGCGCAAACGCGTCCTCGTTTTAGACGTCCAACGACCGCAGCAAATTGGTACCGTGCACCGCAAATGACGACTAGCGTTATATTTGACGTTTCAAAAGTTTGTATTGTCACTACGTAAGCTACATCAACATGACACGCCTTACATAACCTACATAATCTTGGACGTGCTAAATATAACGTCAGTCGTTATCTGTAGTGCACGCTGCCCATTCGCTGCAGTCGTTCGCTGCAGTCGCGTCATTTACCGTCAACATTTCATCAAACCAATCACAATCTTTACACCATTGTGGTAAATGCCGTTGTTTCTTTCCTTTACTATTTCCTAAAAATGAATGCAGTGAACAATGTGTAGACAAACGCACCGAAAAAAATTTGATGTCGGTTATGTCCATTGGTCTGATTCAAGGGTTCGCGCAAACGCGTCCTTGTTTTAGACGTCCAACGACCGCAGCAAATTGGTACCGTGCACCGCAAATGACGACTAGCGTTATATTTGACGTTTCAAAAGTTTGTATTGTCACTACGTAAGCTACATCAACATGACACGCCTTACATAACCTACATAATCTTGGACGTGCTAAATATAACGTCAGTCGTTATCTGTAGTGCACGCTGCCCATTCGCTGCAGTCGTTTTACGTTGCAAGGAAAAAACAAGAACGGGTTCACTGATTGTCACGATATTCCAATTTGTGCGAAACTCTTGAATCTCACTACATATATTCTGTAATTACTCTCCGTAATGGACCCTTATTAAGTTCGGGCAAATTTTTAACGCAGAGTGGTAGTTTCCTCAAAAAATATATATAAGTAAATTCAAGTTCTAAATATTTTATGTGTATGGTTTGCCCAGTACGTGAACGTCACCATTACTTTGCGTGCCACGATAAATTCTTACGCCTGAGGTTGCCGACCTATAAAAACAAACCTACACGGTATTGTTTCCCCAACTCCAGTTTTCTTTTTGCAGACTGACATAAACGGGCCGGGGCCTGCTGCCCACATTATTTATTTAACTTTTTTTCTCATTTTTCATTTCTTGCTGATTTTCCAACTATTTTCTTTTTCAAGACTGCGCTGGCATCGGCCTTGGCTGCTTCATTTTTACTCTGCGATTGGATAGATTTTCTTTAGCGTCTGCAATTGACTCTCCTTAGCGGCTGCCTGCTCTCTCACGGGCATCGCTGCTGATTTATTATTTTTACTTATTCCCCCCTCCAGCATTTTTCCACACTTTCTCACTCCATAATTTCCATTTAATTATTTTAACTGGTTCTTTTCTACTTGCTGATTTCCCCACATCCCCCAATTGCTTTTTACTGCTCAGGGCATGTGGCTGGGGGAGCTGCTGACTATTTCTGCTGGGCCTCGCTGATTTCCTTCAATGATTGACGGGACTTGACTTTCCATTCCCCCATTTCCCACTTTCGAAACAACAACTCCTTTCAGCTTTCCCACTTTCACACCAGGATGATCGCACACCAGGATGATGAACTGCTGCGTATTTCTGCCGGGCCTCGCTGATTCCCTCCACTGACTGACGGGACTGGATTTTTAATTATTCCCTCCAGCTTTCTTCAGAACTCCCTCCAGCTTTCGCACTTTTTTCTACTTTCACACTCAATCCCCCTCCTACACAGGTATTTTGTCTTTTCCCCATCTCCACTTATCGGGGATGTGGCTGGCTGGCTAATTCTGCCGGGCCTCGCTGATTTCCTGACCTAGCTGCTGACTTAATCATATTATTTTTACTTATCCCCTCCAGCTTTCCACTTTTTTCTCCTTTCACTCAATGATTCCAAGCAGGTTATTTATTTCATGAATGGAAGGCGTTCATCTGGGACTATCGTGTGCGCTGTTAATCGTGTGAATATTTGTGAAAATAATATGATATCCCGTAATTTATTGTGGTCCATTTTAGTTTACTTTTTACAAGAAAAATGTGATATTATGCAATCATAGACGACCAGTCGCATAAGATAAAGAGAATCCGCAAACCAAATTTCTGGCTGTCAGAAGAAGAATACTAAGAGTGGAAAACGGTTCAGCAAGCTGATCTTGATGAGCGTGCAATGTACCCAGAGGCGTCCACATAAATAAATTAAAGGTCAAGTAAACGTAAATATTTGTATTAATATTGGATACGAAGTGGACCTATGAATATGATGTTGCTGTTGAAGTTAGTTTCTACTTCTTGTTATCACCGTGTGAAAAAATAGCTTTTTCTGTCCACTACTGTACCAATTGTTGTCACCAGAAGGCTATTACCTTTATCCATTTTGAATAATCGTGTGAGCTCTATTGAATTCGTGTTATGTGTGCGATGACACCGTCAAAATAAAAATTGCGCTTATTTTACTAAATAGTTAATCCATTACTGGGTATGATATCACTCACATATATATTGAACGTATATATGGTCAGAATTTTCACAATGAACTTGAAACTGCTGATCGGATCGGAATGCCATGGCTTTATGAGTGAGCACGAGCAGTCCTATCGTTCAATTATCACGAGAGGGGCGCTACGGAAGCGGGAGAAAGTTGTTTTGGGGGTCAAGGAAAAAATGAAAAACTGCGAATAATAAACAAGTGCACCGACACTGGGAGTAAACCAAGGAAAAAGCTTTATCACGCTATGTACTTGACACCGCTGTGCCCAGTTCACTCACCCGAAGCCCTGATTCGATAACCATCCAGGTTTTCATTTGTTCCACACTATATGGTTTGGACTTTGAGGTACAGTATAAAATACGTATATATATATATGTGCTAGAGAATGGAACAATGCTAATTTATATTTTTTCGTGATAGGTGAATGGGAATATGTTATCTTAAATAGTTTTCTACCTCTACCAGAATGCTGTTTTCTTCTCTCATCCAATTGTTGTTCATCGGTGATTTTCGTTTTCATTCGTTTGCAATCAAATCTGTGTAACACACCAGAAACACCAATACACTTTTCTTTGTCCATTTTGAGAGGACTGTAATGATGGTCGAGAGTAATGAATGTAAGGTAATATATATAATATTCACAAACAAAATGTGCAGTTTGCAGATTTATTCAATTTGAGATTCTTTATATATATATATATATTCTATATATACAAGGCTTTATAGCATATTTGGGTTAATTTAACTGACTTTAGTTAATAGTTGGTGTTTAACTTGAAATGATTTCTAATTTGATTCGAACGTTGAAATTAAAACTAAACTAAAGCCATGAAGCGAAACAATTAGACAACCTATCGTTCCGAGTACGAAGACGTTACAGCGCCATGCCCTCGGAACGCCAAAATAGGTCTATAAAATGATCAATGATTCGTGAAGAGAATAGGAAAGAAAACGAGCAAAAATCAGGAATATTTTTACTACGATTCGGCATGCGTGCAATGAAACTTTATTCTGTATGTCAGCCTGTTTTACCAGGCTTGCCCATGGAATGGGATTCCCACGGGAAACGTCCCATTGAATGGGACAGGACACATTTGTATTTCCCATGGGACACGTGGGACATAAAATACCGTATGATTTTCTGAGAAATAAGGGTAAAACATTTCGTTATGGATCTCTTGTCCATATATTTGAGCATAGCTCTCTTGTTAGTTATAAAGATCAAAATATATTCAGTATTAGCAATATACTTTGTGAAGCGGCTGATGGACCGGACATGTACAATAGTTATTATTTCAAGGTTAACAAACTCAGTAATTTTTGCTGTTTTGTATGTCTCTTTGTACATGTAATCCTATTTAGCAGACGCTAAACCTAAATTTAACAATTTTCATCAAATTATATTCCAATGGGAATCCCATGGGATGGAATGGAACAGGAATAAATAGCTAAGGAATGATACAGAACAAATATGTCCCATGGACAACCCTGTGTTTTTACACTATTCATTTACATTGTATTTATTTGAGAATGTATACAATATTACTACATGTATTGAATACAACTGATGTATGCAATGTCTTTGTCAGATAATGAACAGGACAGCATGTCATTCATCAAAATACAACAACCACAATTTAGCAACCAAACCAGGGGCGCAGCCAGGATTACGGTGAAATTAAAACAGTGCGCCAAAAGCGCAATTTACGACGCCGTAAGGTGTGTAAACGTTAAAGAACTAAAATATGTGCGTTGTACACAAGCGAAATTCCACAGTTACGTGTACTGTAGCTCAACTCATTTTGCCAGACGTCGTTTGGTGAATATTTTGCTCGTCCGATTTCAAACATCTACTAATCGTCGACCATAAATCCATAATCAGCGGTAAACCTTGTCGCGTTGTTCGCGCGCCATTGTTTTATAAATGAGTTAGTTATTAGCTGGAGAGGAAAAAAATGTAACCGCACTCTCGCAAATGTTATGAGCCATGCAGGCAGGAATATTTGCATCCCCATACCTTGCATGAACGTATCAAATGTACACGAAATTTAGAAACAAAATGAAATTGACAAAAGAGATTTTTTCCGATCGAATAATTATACCCCCGCTGCCTGCGCCCCTGAAGCAAACAACAAGAAATATTCTTTTAAAACCCTACATTGCCAGCAACAAACAATTACAAAGAATATTGTTTTTTCTACATTGTTACCCACTCTACAACTTTTCTGAAAAAATAAAAAAAAATATTCAAGTTGCACTTCGTCCCATGCGCACAAGATTTGTAAAAAATAAAAAAAAAATTGCACGTTCTATGATAGGTGCGCAATTCATATACCGCTGAATAAGAGTATTATGTTTCAGCTCATCATAAACTCGTACTAACCTTCTAGACGTCATGTCGTTACGTACTTTATTCTTGAAGTCTTTGACCGATGTTTTTGAGAAAAACATTTCATTCTTCCATGGCATTGGATTGTTTTCTGAAATAACGTTTTCACAATTATCTGTTTGTTTTTCGACAGGCATAAATATACAAAACATCCGGTAACACGAATCTATCTATTTGAACCAAGGGATGCTTGAAACAATTTAATCTGTGCGTTTTAAATTGATTCGACGATGTGTTGAATCAACTTTGTTAGACAGATACGAGGATTTTTTTCATGAAACGCTCACCGTGATATAAACACGTTTTACATCTTAAAATAATTAGAAAAAATCGAACTTAAAATCGGCCTATTTCGAGATCAGTGTGGATTACATGAAAGATTAGCACAGCCGCATTTGTATTGGATTATTTCATTTTATCGAAATAATTAATGCTTTGCATAGGTTAATTTAATATAAAAGAATTATCTTTCAAAATCTTGTAATCTCGCCTCGTGCTGGCCGATCTTCGGATGTGGTATCAGTTTGTCCATTGTCAAAGCTGTCGTTCGCCGTCCAAAACTTTTGAGATGAACAACATGATGAAGTTGAAGAAATACCCTTATGCAAAAGAAAGTGGTCAAAACTGGGAAAATAAATACAATAACAACTGAATTAATAGCAATCGTTGTTATTCAGTGATGGTCCGTAACTTTGAGCAGATATCAAACTTCCATTTTTGAGTGCGCGTGGCCTCGCCTGGAGCAATTTCCTTATGTATTTTTTTTAAAGTAATGGACGATAGTTGAGTTAAGAATTTAAGATGCCAATAAAATCAGCAGTATTGAGGTAATTTCGATTAGGTTCATATTTCACAGTAAAAAAGGGTCGGTGTTGACTTAAATTTCTGACATATCATATTTGAAATTACTAAGGGAGTTCATTCTGGACGAACACATAGCACTTGGCGCCATGAACCTAATTATATTGTGGTCGGAGATCTAGGGATCACGAGTTTGAACACAAAGCTAAAAATTTTACTCAGTGCATAGTAGCTTCATACTCCTTGTGGGTTATTTTCAGAGCCTTGCGTCTGAAAAGCTTCTGAATAAAAAGGTGAATAGTATGAAATAACATATAGTATCTTTGATAAGGAAGATGAAAATCAAAGTCGTCCGTCAGTTTACATTAAACAAGATACCTCGTCACATCATGCACATTGGATAGATAATATTAAAGAAATATATTTTTGAAACTATTACTTCACAAGAATCGTCATCCAAGCGAACGGCCTTCATCATCGACAACAACTCCTCTCTTATTTTGTCCATAGTCCTAAAATAATATTTCATAAAGCAAGAGAGCACTAATCAAGTATATGGTTACGAAAGCCGGATCCCAGGAAAAAATAAAAGTATGTACCGGTAATAGATTTTTAGCGCACCAAGTTTAATCACTGCACATTGAATGGTCTGTCAGTTGCGGAATAAAGCGATTTTCCCAACAACGACAATCATTCCAACAATACCGGATACAATATCGATCAAAAGAGAAAAAACAATGCCCAATTATTTTAGACTTTTCATCCACTGCAGCGAAACTTTAATAACTTTATAAACTTAAAACATTATTTTTTTATATTGTAATATAGCCAGACTCAAATATTTCAAATGCGTATGATTTCTATCAATTAAGTTCTTCTGTGGACACGAATGACATATGTGCCTTCATTGATAAGGAAGAACTTTTTACAGATATCCTGCTATTAGGTTGAAAACGGTATGCATTCGTCGGCGAGTCTTGGGTCAAATCGGATTCGCAGCTAATTTCAAATTCCGGGTTCCAAGTCGAGTTGAACTAACTCCGCTCCCCCGAATCACAATTTAAGTAGTCACTGCTCTTCCAAGTCAGAATGCGAGACAGCTACATTGTCTCTTCTAAGACATAAAAGCCTTCTTATTTAATCATGTATAGACATTTACATTGGTATCAATACGAGCCAGTGAAATTTTTTTTTCCAATGAAATAATAATCGCCGTAGTAGACCAAGTCCTACTAAAATTCTAAAGACTCGCTCGAAATGATCTTCGAAATTTTCGAAAAAAAAGCTCCAGTTTGCGCAGCACTTGTAAAAATACGTGGTTTTCAATAAGAGTCGAATCTTAAATTTAACATAGTTGACTTTAACCTGACTCCTGGCAGAGTGGTGTGAATCATATCTTGGACTATAATATCCTTCGATGCACCAAAATCCCCCAATGTTGACATTACATCAAATTCATTTGCATTATTTTCATTGTCTATCTTCTGTTCTTCATTTTCAATTGATTTAGACTTTAAAGTACTTTCTGTAAATGCATTTGAATCTATTCAGGTTGTACATTTAACAATAACTTATATGATTATTGAGTTTATTTGGTCACAGTTCTTAAAGTATATTGCAGGAAAACCGGGTCTTTGAACCATTTCTAAAACAAGATCAAAATTTTGATACCGATATAGAGATGTCCGAAAAATATATTTCCATTTCAAGATCTGTATAGTGAACTACAACAACACTACAAAAGCCGGTAGACCTAAATTGCTCAGTTATGCGGTATGCCAGTCATGAAGATTTTTATTTAATATTAATATGATTTTTTTAACAAAAACCTTTTTTCAGGATTGGTAAAAAAATCTAATACATTTTCTGATAGAGTTCAGGTGTGCCCAAAACGATATAAAACACAAAATGGCCATAAAAGTTACCCATGCCGCTATCGTTTTCTTTAAAATTTATCATCCAATTGACCAAGCATATCACAATCTTAAATTTCAAACAAATTTGAAATTCACCCTCAAACTTTGTTCTTATATTCTTCGTTACAGATTCTCGTTTCTGTTTCATTTCTGATTTGAAATCATCAGCAATTTCTTTTGTATTTTCTAGTCTTGGATGACCTACTAACAAAAATATAACAATTCTAGGTAAAATCCATTCTATACTTTCAAATACGACGACCAAAATTGCGGAGACTCGCCTGGCTTATTCTTCCGTTTTGCGCTTTGAAGCCAATCACGTAAACTTGGGTCAGAAGCCATTTGGTCCCCCAGTTCGTGTTGTTGTTGTTGCATGCTTTTGTTTTTGAGTAGAGATATATTTTGTGGCAGCGAAATAATCTCATTGGACGATGGCGGGTCCCAATTTCGACAAACTGTTTGGATCGAAAAAATAAAAACATAGAGTGAAAATGCACAGGGTATAGTGGTGTTAATTCCATGATACAGTAAATGGTTACGTTAAACCACTTTCTTCCACGTGAATATCGATATAGATTAACAATTATACATCACTTTGAAGTCAATCAATCTACGACGCTTGAGTTATTTTTGTGTACTTCACTAATCGGCAAATCGACAACAAGTTTCATAATCAACTGCGAATATATTTACCCGTATGCATGCAATACTATGAAAAGTAAATGAGAGCTTCAAATTTTTCGGCTTAGTAGTCGATTCTAGCGAAATATAAACGAAGCTCAATTAAAAACATCGAAAATAGTGTTACTTTCGTTTTTGGCCGCAACAATCTTTTGCACACATTTTGCAGAATGACGCTCAATCTCGGGCGGTATTCGTATCTCAGGCCACGATCCTTTTCCGAGCTTGCTTCGGGTGAAAGGTTTTACAGTTAACCGCTGACCACATACCAGCTGTTTGGATTCTTCTGTGAATATATTCAATTTCAGGTTTATACTGATGAATATTGTACGTTAGCACAATCTGCATTCCATTGATATTATTGTCGCCATGGTATATGGATTTCATGAAAAACAGTGTTTTATGTCTAGCTCTCAGTTCTATTGCTAGTTTGAAATGTTATGGGATTGTTCACTGCATCGCAGACAGCTTGAACGACATCCATACATCTTACGAGTATTTTTACAAACAGTTTCACGTGTGGCATATACAAAACTTTGATTTGTAAAACGGGAGACGAATTATTACAATTACAGTTATCGTATATGTAATGTCGAATGTTTTCTCCTCCAGCTTTTTTAACAGTTCTACTAACAAATAGAACAGTGTGCCGAGAAGGGGTACAATTGAATAAAAACATTACAAAATAGCACCACAATAATTATTACTAGTGAATTCTATAATAACTTACTGTTCGATTCAACAGGTTTAATATCATTCTTCCCTTTGGTTGGTGCTTGGTTCCCGTGGTGTGTCGCGTAACTGATGTTATTTTCAACGTTTTCCGATGTGCTTACAAGAGCATTGTGAGGATTCTTGCGTGATTTACGTTTGTAATGACGCTGTTCTCGCTTTCTCCACTTAGTTCCTCTAGACGAGGATTCAGCAGTTTTTTGTTTCTTTCTTGTATCGCCAGGAGCCATCCTCTTGTCTTCTCTTTCAAGCTACGTTGACTCTAAATTTTCAGCGAACACAATTTGACTTCGGTGAACTTTAGCGTGAAGTGGTTTTACAAGAGCACACTGCTTCCGCATTGTGGCATCACAATGATATTGAATCAGCTGATTGATAAAATCACTCGTGTGTGACTGAAATAGAAGCATGGGAGGAAAATGGGGAATATCGAGATTAGAAAAATCAGCAATATTACTGTATAAGCTGTGGTCATATGTCCATCCGTTTGCCATGGCTGGCAGATTCGTAAATTTGTTTTATTCACTGTGTCAGATACAAGCAATTAGTAATGTCTGAATGTCGTATAATATATCAATAACAATGTGAAATATTTACTATGGTACCGGTACAGTAATTGTTATTTCTGTTTTACTTAAATGTCTGTACTGCTGTATGTGACTTTTTATAAATTTATGATTTTAATAATTAGGAAAAAGATGGAAGTAATTGGCTCTACAGTCACAGTCAGACAGTCCCTGGGTCCCGTGTAGTTTCGTACCACAATACCGGTAACTTCTAGGGAACGTGGCGTAGAGATTTTTCCATATGTCAATCGTAACCCTGCCCAACCTAATTATCTCATCCAAAAATCATGTCACTAGGATGTCCCAGTGACAAAATAAGGCCCCCAAAATATACTGATAGTCATCCAAAACGTGCAGATGATTACCCGAAGTCGAACAAGCTATTTCAGTATTTTCTCTTGTTTCTTGTCATAGTGATCTCTCTCATATCGATACAACTGTACAACAATAAAAATGCTGGCGTTAGTGAGTGCGTTATCGTCAGGGCAGATGTCATTTTGGGCGATCGTATCTATACCGGTATTTTGGCAAGCTATATCAGTATATGGCGTGGTTGTAACTTGTAACATCATAATAATGTATTTATTGGTTGCCGTAGTCCAGTAGTCAGGTGGGGGTTAGGAATGACATATGCAAAAATGGTTATGATGAGCCCACTAGAAGGGGTCTCATGTTTCGTACCTAACATGCTTCTAGTGGACATAGCATAACAATTTTTTCATGTGTCAATCCTAACCCCCACCTGACTACCCCATCCAAACATTATGTCACTGCGACGTCACAGAACTGTCTATACGAACTGTCATCCAAGACGTTCAGACGAGCATCCAAAATCGAACAGCTATTTCTCTCGTTTTCTCGTCGCAACAATTTTCAATATGAGCGAGAGAGATCAATGACGTTAGTCAGTTCTTTATCGTCGACGCCAATGCCATTTTGGGAGATCGTACGTATATTTGGCAAGCTCTATGACGTAATTGTGATGTCGTAGCGTTGTAATTTTGGATGGCGTAGTCAGATGGTGGTTAGGATTGACATATCAAAAAAAATGTTATGCTACACCCACTAGAAGTACATTGGGTACGAAACTACACGAGACCCCACTAGAAGTGGGCCTACTTTTGGTACAAAACTACATGAGACCCCATTTCCCTATATGAATGTTTAATAATCAATAGCTTTGGGCTAAATCTGGCATATCTTGGCTAAAAGGCACCGATTATTGCTGAGGCTAATTATTTTAGTATTTATATGCTGTTATGTTTAAATCTATCCCCAACTTTGTCAATGGGACATAATCTTGGATTTTTGCCAAAAAATTACTGGCAGCTATTCAACGTCGTTCCTTCTAGAGTTATCCTTGTCTAAATACCATCATTGTGAAGTAAATTAAAAAAATTTATACAATTTTTAACAAATTTTCAGAGACCCTTCTCAATTTTAATAAACAAGATTAAATTGGTGATTAAACTGTAAACTTTGCGATTAGCCTCACCATGTGACTGAAATAACTTAATGCAGTGACAGAGTGAGGAAAATGATTGTCTGAAGGGCAGTTAAGGATAATAGCCAGATGACCAGAAAAATGGACTATTACAATATTAAAATATTTCTGATAGAACCAAAACATGCCAAAAAGTGTCGCATGAATGTTTTGCTGAGCAGTTTGGATAATAAATGATCGAGTTATGGTTGAAAATGAGGTCGTTTTTCCAAAGTCATTGACGATATAAGAATAATCTGAATAAACTGATAGATGACTTTACATTTCCTGTATCCAATGGTTCAGTCTGAAAGGTTTCGACCAAAATAAATTGTAATGAGGGTGCAGCTAAATTACTCATGGAAATTACCTGTGTGTACATGTGTGAAATGCAATTGTGAGCAAGATTTACCTTTTTATCCATTACTTCAAATTGTCAAAAATTTTATTGTTAACATTATACATGGTTGGGGACCTGACTTTTTCCCAAGTTGTGATGATATAAGAGATAATTATTCTAAAGTATATTCAATCAATTTTTATTGTACAGAAATAAATTTTACTTCGTGAGATCTTACATCAGATTCACGGATTTTTCGAACAGTTTTATCTTAAAAATAATTAGAGTGGCAGCATTGCGATTAAGCGGAGTCAGTGTAACAAGTATATCTCAATTTTGTCGAATTCGCAAAATAGCAATAATACGGATCAAAACAATATATAATCGGCAGTTTACGCCACATTTTTATGTCTGCAGATTGCCATGGCATATCAGAATGGTCATGCTTTTATTTTGTCGACGCAACCGCAGGTTAAATTGAAGACCATTAAATTAATAAAGCAATACATTTAAAATATGTCCGTATCAGTCAGGGATTGATTACGGTACTTTGCACAACAGGAAAATCATTATTCGTTGAAAAAGTCGGCCTTTTTAACCATTAGCGCAGTGTTTCCCAACCCGAGTCCGTGGTCTCAAATGAGTCCGCAGTGCGTTTGAATGAGTCCGCAACGAGCCAGAAATTCACTGCGGGCCGCAAACGTTTTTGTGGAACTTATCCATCAGCCAAGTTACGATTTACGTTAAAATTTACATAAAACATAAAAAGCAAGTTTATTCACATAACATTAATTGAGTCAATAATTACTGGATACTGAGTAGGACTGGGCATATATATATTCGAAAATTCACTTATTAGAATAGCAATTTACTATTCGAAAATTTAGTAACAGGTGAAGCGACAGGTCACTTGCGCATCGCTTAATCAAACGATTGGATTTCACAACTCACTTGCGGATTCCCGACGAAAACACGAGTCGACACACGCGTGGATAGCTAATTGGTGTTTCTCGCGAGCTCGAGCAGCGAGGAATAATTTTTTTGCTGGTGTCAATGGTGGCAACCTAAATTTTTCAAATGGAAAAGCAGAAATACAAAAAATAAAACGTAAAACACCATAGGTTTTGTTTTATGATGGTCCGCTACCGATTAAAATCGCTTTTTAGACATTGCAAATCTCAAAATTTCGGGTGCTACCGTAGTATACGTATCAGGGCATTTGCCCTTAGGATACTTTGCTTTACTGCCTCCACATTGGTACATACAGTACTGGAGCGCCGTAAGTGTTGTACGAACAGCTCAGATTTGTCGAATGCACAAAAATACAAATCAAAACAAAATATAATCGGGCACTTTACCACGCATTTTTGTGTCCACGGATTGTCATGGTATTTTCTGAGTAGTATTGCTTTTATTTCGTCAACACAACCGCATATTATAATGATCACAATTAAATTAATATTAAAGCAAGGGGATGAATACTTTTTTTTGATTTACTAATATACTTTAATTACGTTTTTAATCAGTACTAAATCAAGTTGTACTTTCTGGAAATTTAAAGCAGATCACAAATTCTCAAGATCGCAAAAATATTTAACAAAACTAAATATAATCGGGCCATATATTCTCACATTAATATGTTCGCTACTTTTCGTGGCATTTCAAAGAAATAATGCTTTCATCTTGTCATAAGTCGACGCAACCGCGAGCCATGAACACAATTAAATTAAAATAGAAAGACATTTTAATTTCTCATCATTATCATGGATTGAATATTGTGCGACACAAAAGGCCATTTATACACTAAAAAAGTCAGCTCTTTTGACAAACGCGTAATTGCGGCGAATTTCCGATTTTGAAATTCGTTAAAATTCTGTTGTGTTTGGTTTTATTACTTCTTCACACAGGATACGATTGCAACTATCGCACGTTGAGTCCCCAAAGGTTTTTGTCGGTGAGAAAATAGTCCGCAACCAAAAAAGGTTGGGAAACGCTGCATTAGCGTAATGGCGGCGACTTTTCCGTGTGGGTTTCGAGGCGATGAATATGTACTTTTGATTTACTGATATACTTTACGTGTTTTTTCATTGTATGAAATAAAATTGTACTCTACAGGATTTTATATCAGTCCAGAAATCAGTGATCGCCGTGGTATTTTAGGAAAGTAATGTTTTTATTCATATATAAGGAGACGCAACCGTGAGTTACATTGGACACAACTAAATTAATAAATAAGGACATTTTAGAACCTCGTTATATTTTATGCGACAGAAAAATCATTATACGCTGAAAAGGGGGCTCTTAACGAGGGCATAATCGCGATGACTGTTACAGATGGCAATGAGAATTTCCGATTTTGAAACCCCCTCTTTTGAAAGTCCTGGCTGCGCGCCTGTGCAATTTTTTAAACCGCAGTTTCTGCTGAAAACTTATTAAGTTCTTCAACTGTTTGAGGATTAAGAATGACAGAAATATGCTGGTAGAAGCTTAGTGGAGCCATTATTCACTGAAAACTATTTGGTCTATGCAATTTTTCTGTAGTAAAAAGAATACAACATAGATGAGGCCCGGATTTAGCTTATATATATGTAGGCTATATCTATATAGAATGTGATAGCACTGCACTTGTTCATCGTAATTGATTATTAATATTATACAGTAGGGCACAGTTATCCGATCCAAACCCCAGTTATCCAAGCATAACCCCCAAATTTAAATATATCAATTATAACTTTGAAGGCAAACCCTTTCTTTTCGATACAGTCAGGCCTTCATATCGCTACAAATCGACTAGCAGGTACTGCACAATAAACCAAAAGGGATTGCAATCTAAAAACATAATTGAACTTAAATTCGAAAATAAATTGATTAACAGAAGGACAAAAAATTTTTGCAGTCGAGAGTTTTTAGCAAAAAAGCGCAGGAAGAACAGAATTTTGGTCCATTGCCGACTGACACATGTCACGATTAATTTGTATTATTATTGCCACAAACATATCACAATCTTACGCACTTGCTATCGTGCCAGACGACCTCCGTTTGCAACAGATAGGGTTCCTTTTATTGAATCAGATATCGAGACATCCTTCCTTGATTCTGAGAACTGTGCCCTGGTATAATTATCAATGAATGAATTAGCGTTTGTTAACAACCGAGCAACATGCCTGGATATTTTCACATGATTGGTCGTTTTGCACGCAAGTTCAAAACATTTTGCAAACTAAAGTCTTTGATTGCTTGCCCAATTTCTAGTTCAAAAAGGCCATGAAGTTCAGACTGTGATTGGGGTTTAATTGTTATATGACTTGTAACTAATGATGAGGATAATAGTTCATACAATTATATTTTTTGCTAATGGAAACAGCCAATTAAAGAAATATATTCAATTTCTGTAAATCCCTAGATCCTGTAGGTTGTTATTTATAATTATTTAGCTGATTTTTTTGCTTGCTGCTACAAATCTGAGAATGACAACAAGGTATTTCAGAGACCAATCATCAGAGTTAGATAATTCTGAAGAAGTTATCAAGGTATATATGGGTATATCGTAGTTTAGTAACACAAGTACCTCTAGTGGGGTCGGCTTACCCTTTTTTTTATATGTTATTCTTAGTCCCCATCTGACTATGTCATCCAAAAATTACATCACTACGACGTCACAATCGCAGCGTAGTGCTCGCCAAAGTATAGCTACGATCGCCCAAAATAGCGTCTGCGTCCCCGATAACGGACTCACCCACACCAGCGATCTCTCTCATATCTGGATCGATACAACGAGAGAAAGTATTACTTTGTATACAAAGTATCTTACTCGATTTCGGGTGATCGTCTGTGCATTTCGGAAGACCGTCCATATATTTTGACGGGCCTTATTATGTCACTGTCACATCGTATTGACGTAATTTTTGGATGACATAGTCAGATGGGGGTTAGGAATGCAAATATTGGTAAGCCATGCTCACTTGAAGTACAAAACTACATCAGACCCGGTGAATATCACCTTGAATTAGTTTTTTCTGGCAAATCAAGTGTCTCGATCCTAACTTGAAGGAACATACAACTAGCAATGGGCAAAAAAAAGCAACAAATTTTTATTTTATCGTTGTATGATGTAGTTGGTAGATTAATTAAATTGTGTTAGATTATTATTTGAGGTGTTTGTGCAGTGCATAATTCAGAGAAGTGCATATAACGTTAATGGGGGCCCAAGCAGTGTTTACCAACATATGCGACCCCACCTCAAAGTCTCTTTGGAAGCGATTGGTCCATCATTTTCTAGAAAAGATGTTTTTTTCCCAAGCACAAATGATACCCCAACAGCAACAACAATTTTTCTAACTCATCCATCTATTTATGTACACTTCGACTCCATGTTTAAAAATTACTACCGGTAATTTGATTATTGGTTTTCCAATGGGCTTCATAAAATATTTTCATATCCATAAGGTGAAAGAAAAAAGGGTAAACCTGAAGAATAATTCAGACAAAAAATTCAGAAAGAAGTCAAATGATGCGGTGAGTGCAAGGATGTAGAATGGATTCAATTAATACTAGTCATTAAATTGGCATATTTTTATAATCAAAATCAAATATTTATTATGTATCAGCAATTTTAAATTGTCCGTACTAAAATAACAAACTACATCTAATAAATTATGGATCCATGTTCAATTTCAAGTGATATTTTCTTACTTGTAATAAGAAATCATTATGGATTAGATTGAATTTTTGGTATTGGTAACATCTGTTAGGAGTAAAAAAGTAATGCAAAATATGGCCTATCGTATTTTACGGGCCAGAAGGTGCACTTTGAACCTTTTTTCTCTCATAAATCGATTGTACGCCTATAAGTCGTTTGGGTAGTGCTTTATGCTGTTTTTTGTGCCTTGCATGCCAACCCTATGCTCCTTAAAAAATGTTGCATCTTATATATGGGTAAAATCCAAATCTAAGCAGTTTATTGACAGTGTGCGTGCGTCCTATAATTTGGTGTGATCTATGTTCTGTGAAATACAGTACTCTTTCTTATTAATTCTGTTTCTTTGTGCACCGAGGCTAAAGTATACCTACTGTTAGCCACATTCACAATATACCCTATTTAGAAGAAATAAGTCCTGTATGATTATGGTCTGTTTTGGTTTGGATAAATGCTGAGATATTCTTTTTGAACTAATGCTTATTAAAAGCTGGAGCCTGAGCTACCTAGTTTTGACAAAACTAATTTTTATTTATAGCTATTCAAAATGATTATAAATCCTTTTTTTTATTTTTGTTTTTGAATTTTTAGAAAAGTGATCCATTCCCTGGAGCCGCTCCAATTCCAGATGAGAAAGTTGAACTTCACAAAAGAGGATCCACAAATCAGACAGATGTTACTAACGTTAAATTAAAAGGTAAAGATATGACTTTGCAATTTTTCTGATAATACCTGTGATTGAACAAGAACAAAGCTGTTGCTATATAGCAGGGGTGACCCACACATCAATTCATTTTGAATGATCGATTTTGCCTGATGTTGAGTAAACTTATCAAAAGACCTGAAAATATGTTTCAGACCAATATCCAAGCTGTGCTTATTTTGTGTTCAAAAGAGGACGGTGAGTACTTTGCGTGCGCAAAAGGCGATATGTCTTGGCCTAGAGAATCGCAGCCTACGCCTTCATTGGGCAGTGATAGGGATGCAGTGGACCTCTCTTGGGACTATGTCATGATCAGACAAATGCAACTTTGGCGGTTAAGTTGACAAACATATAAAACCTTTGGGAATTCCAACTAAATGGTTAATAAGAACTAATGGCTTTCAATCTAAAATTCATTGTAAACTTATTTCCGGTCAAAGGTGGATGATTATTAGAAAGATGGCACCCGATAGAAAAATGACAAACTCATGCAATCATTATTCGACTACCAGATATGTCTTGTGTTGAGCTATCTTATATCATATCACTTCTACCTCGTCAACTTCTTTTTGGGGCCCCGATATTAATCCAAATTTGTGCTGTTTTTATTTAATTTTTGGGGCCACTCTTATATATTCAAGAGTAGCATCCAGCCTGCACAAGCTTTTTATGACATCCATAACTATTATTTTACAAATTTGTTTTATTGTGGTATTTATATTAACAGTGCCTAATTTTATTTGTATATATTTATTTGTGGGTTATGAAGGGACCGCACAGATCGGGAGTAATAAACGAATTGAATTGTCATCTTATCATTAAACCGCTTTCGTTTCTGGCATCGCTGGGGGTTGCTTTTTGAGGTTAAAGGCTTAATTAAACTTTAGTAATCGTCAATTCTCTATGACTTTGTTAACAGCCGATTGCAAGGTATTGCGAAATTTTAGTCAATTTCGGTCGAAGGCAGGTTGGTTACCCCTGTTATATAGCATTGCTATATTCTTCGCTTTAATTACGTCAAACTTAGTACATCTATAAAATTTTGATGAACTTTTTGTACATGATTCATTTTTGTTTTCAAAGGGAAGTTGATTTCTCAAGAGAAAAAATATGAAGAAGCTGCAGGTCAGGCTGCAAGACATGAATTATTTTTAACAGAGGAAGCTGGGTGAGTTGTATTATGCTATTCTGTTGTCTAGAGCTATATTTCTCTTGTAATCTTATTCTTGGTCGTTTAGTTTTTAATATTATTGAAAATCAGTGGTTTTGTTCAATTTTGTATAGGCTAAATCGCAGATATACAGTTGTGATGGTTCTATACCAGTGGTCGGCAACCTTTTTCAAGTGACGGACCGGTAAAGCCTGAGCAAAATCTTGGCGGACCACCTTTATACAAATGAACTAAGCCTATGCAATAAATTATACGCATTAGGAAATTTATGTTGACAATATACTAAAAACGACGATGATGCTATTTAATGCGATATCTGTATTTGTTTGATGGCCATTAACTGTTCCCATATTCGAGATATGGTCAACATCGACACACGTAACGTGTTTCTTACTTCCAGCCTATTTCGATATTTCGTTTTTGTAGTTATCAATACTGAAAACCAGGCCTTACATTAAGATCCCGGGAAAGATAACAAAGCCTGTATCGTTTTGTTGGGGAAATCTTAGTCGGACTGATGAGAGACATTCTTATACGGGCGTAGAGAAAACAATTGACCCAGCATTATTGCGACATACTAACATGGCAATTGTTTATGGAATCAGACATGTTGCTCAATAGTGTTATGCAGTGGTCGGCAAACTTCATGTACTTGCGGGCAAAATAAAAACATTTCCGGTAGCGCGCGGGCCGCAATATTTCCGCCTTCGAACAATCGCTACCATAATTAAACTTCAAATTATGGCGCATTCGCATTGCTACCCTTCTATTGCTGTGTTGAAAGCCTGTCCCAATGAGATGTATATATATGTGGCGTTTTCTTATCATGCAACAATACATTGTTTTTATGTACTTATTATCAATATGAAAGATGATGTTTTTATGACAATGATCTGACAAGCGAGTACGAAATTTAATCCAAGTGTAATGCATTTTAGATAAAGCTGCTCAAGGCATTACAGGTTTTGCACTGTCGCACAGATGAGCTGTGGTGCAGTCCTGGGTCTCGGGGTCGAATTTTCGACGACTCGTTTTGTAACGAGTTTAACATTGAAACCCTTAACAACTGCGATGCTGACTGGGCATATCGAGCAAACCGGTTTTGGAATGCGCAGAAAGAAAAATATTTTTCTGTTCAAGCACTTTAGAATGCTCCGTTTTCCAGACATTTTCAAATTTTCAAAATAATAATTGACTCGAACGACATACAACTGACGCTACTTGTTACATAAATAGCTCCGTACAGCAGCACTTGTCACCACATATATCCGTGTAGAGACAATAATAAATTTGGTATTAATTTTGGTTTTATTTATTAAATGTCGGGTCGTTCAAGGGCCGCAACAGATTAGCTTGCGGGCCGCATTTTTTCGACCCCTGGTGTTGTGTTTGTCTGGTTTACTGTTTTAGCTGATGAAAGTTTTCTTTTAATGCGGAAGTGAAATTCTGCTGTCATCATGAACAAAATTACTCGACTCAGATATCAACCAGAGAAACAGGACTTCGGGCCTCAGACTCTCGCTCATGACTCCAGATGAGGGAGAATTTCACTCCCCCTCCAGCCCCCATCTCCAGGAATAACAAATTTTGAGAACAAAAACCTCGACATAGGCAAGCCTGTTTGATTGTCTGTTGAGAATTCTTTCCTTCTGAAAAATAGACCTTGATAACAGTCTTTAGCAGTTTGAAAAAGAAGACTCTTGAACTGACACTACAGCCCTGTAAAAAAGTCTGTAAATAATTCGTCATTTTGTATTTCATAAATTTCATTAAATTGGCACTGTTGCTGCTTGATTCAAGACATCTTCACAAAAAATTTGCAATTGTAATATCATTTTTTGTCAGTTTTCTAGAGGCTGAAGAAGGAGAAGAAACATACACAATTCATCAGAGCGAGATTAAAAATCATGTCGACATTGCAAGTGCTAGAAAACAATTTGAATTGAACTTGAAGCAATTTGGTCCTTATCGAATGAATTATACTCGTAACGGAAGGTGTGTATGGAAGGATAAATATTTAGGGAAGATAGATTCCCATGCAACAGGTCTTGAAGCAGTCGCCACAGCCACTCCACTCGTTAAAAGAGCAGATGATGATTTTTCTCCTGCGCAACATATTTATTCCATCACCAATATGAACATTTATAATGTTTTCCGATATTAATTAAATTGTGTACAACATAACTCATGGTTGCTTCAACTTGCGGCGAAATAAAAGCATTACTACTCTAAAATACCATTGCAATCTGCGAACCTAAAAAAATAGGTAAACTATCCTATTCTAATTAGTTTTTATTTTGTTTTATTTGTTGTTGTTTATAAGGCCGATTTTCAATCTTAGTATTCCCTTTTTTATTTCCAGTCGAAAATTTATTTTGCAGATTCAATCATTTAATTATATTTAGCGCCTTATCTTCAATGCTCACGTAATCATGAAATTTTACATAGGATGCACAGATTGGATGAGAAAAAAAATTATTGATGTTCTCATGGCACAAGATGTGCAATTAGTTATTTTGTGATAGGCAGAGTTTGCGGAAATAACGGAGTTGACCGACATAATTCCAATTGTCATAATTTTTCAAAAAAATCTTATTTTATTACTAACCATCATATCCTCATTTTTTTTATTTTGTGGCCCAGGAAACCAGATATAACATATTATGTTCACCAATGTTTACTACAGCCTATGGTTTTGAATAATTTTTGTGACAATACCTGATTATAAATGAATTTTTTCATCATTGCACCATGTTTTATTCCAACTTCTTTGTTTTACATAAATGTATCTGTAAACATAGCAATATCCTTTTTTTTTCTCTCATATTTTGCTATTTTGTGCTTTCAGATATTTATTGTTAGGCGGAAAAAGAGGACACGTTGCTGCTTTCGAGTGGAACACGAAGAAATTATTGTGCGAAATCAATGTTATGGAATCTGTCAATGATGTCAGGTAGGAGGAATTCATTTTCAATTTAACATAAAATGGCACTTTCTTTTTAGACTATTCAAGGAAGGTTATTTGCCGTTGTCCGATAATCAATCTTATCTGATAGATGTTTTGATTATATATAGAAACATGCATACAGGGATGTTTTATTTGGGGCTGTGAGGTGGGGGAACCGATTGACTCTCGTTACTGGGTTAACAAAAACTCCCAACTTCGAGGTGCTAAAAATATTTTTGGTTATTGACTCCAGCTTCAAAATTTGAGAAAATCAAATTGTGATAACAAAAACTTTAGTGGCATCAAAATACCTTCTTCAATAGACTGCTAAGAACGCTTATCTGTAGAGGATTTTGACTTCTTTTATCTCCATTGAATGTCTTGAATTCCAAAATTGACAATTTCAACTCAGAGTAGTTGAAAATACGACTCCAGTGAAAACATGCCGATTCATATCCATAGTTTTATTTTCATAAACTGATAGACTAGTGACTGTCAGCAGTATCAGCTACCATTTTCACTCTAGTTGATCAATAGTTTAGACATAATAGAAAATATTCATAATGGATGTTTAAGTCATTACAATAACGAGGTAATGTGAATGGGTCGAAATACACTGATAGTAAATTAGCAACATTAAATTCTGGTTTGAGATCCTGGTAGACATCTTCCAGATGGTGTCAGTAGAGAGTCTGTTCCCACTATGCTAATCCTAGTATAATTTATTCTCTAACATATAAAGAGACCGTTTTTAAGCATTTCATTTATTGTGGGCATGGTGGCCTTTGGGGTAAACCGTTAGACTTGACTATTATGATATTTCAGATTAAAACTTCGGTTTCAAATCCTATTTTCACACCTTTACCCAGAGTGTAACATCTTGGGTAGGCAATGCTTGGGTAGGCAACTAGAAAGATTGTGGTTCTCCAAACTATAGTAACTTCTTGCCTATCAGTGTCTGCTTGTGTAAAGCTTTGTTCGAAATGAAAAGTAGCCTAAATAAATATGACGTATAAAAAAATATTTTTGATTCTGATCTTCTTTCACATTTTGACCTGTGGTGTACACAGTGCAATGACTTCCAATAACACAAAACTTATTTTCAAATATGAAGGTAAATTCAATCTTTTTAATATAAAATGTCTCATTATTTTTTAAATTATTTTTGTTCATGTCAGTTCTGAACACAGGACCTAATTTATTTTATTCAATGATTAATAGTTTAGGGAGTGTAAACAAATCTATAAATACTTTCCTTTCTCCTGGGAAAATATGTGAATTTTACTAGAATACTATGTGCATGTGGCACAAACAATCGGCTGTTTTCTGACATTACTAAATACTTTGATAAAGATAATCCAAAGCAAGCAGTCTTTTTTTTTTCATCACGTAAATCCAACAAGTTACCACTCCTAGCGAGCACATAGTTGACTTAAACCTTCGTGCATGAATTTATATGATTTTTATCCCTCCTGAACCACGAGGTACCAGAACACATAATGAACCAGGATTTGTGTGTTTGTAAAAAAGAATTCGAACAAGTCTCAGAAATTAGTTTCCTAATAATAATTAACCTAAATGACACTTAAACCCTTTTATAAATTTGAATGGGCAAAATTTCAGTCATGGTTGCCTTTTATCCCAAACTTTACTTTTGTTTTCGAGACCAAGTTTCAATAGCGCTGCACGTCCCTTTGCCTTGATGTGTATTTACAATAATAGAATACATGAATCACTTTTCACACTGAAGAATCCTAAAGATCTCATTAACCAGTGTGAACAGGGTAACTTAATCTCAAAACTAATTCTCACCATTAATGCTTTTTCAAAATTAAACAATAACCACATGAAAACGTTACTTTATTAAGCTTCATCAAGAAAAAAAAAAGACAATGTGAGAAGAGTACCGGTACTTGTTTCCTCTTACATAAATATTTTATAAAACTTAGCAAGCAGGAAAAGGACACTGAGAGAAAAATGTACCAAACTTAATTCAGTGTAGCAGCTATTCTGTGTAGTATATTTGACTGTGTTGATATTTGATATCACATAGATTAAATTCAAAAGTGTTTATAAAATATGATCTTGGGCTACTCAGCTCAGAAATAATGTGAGCAGTGTCACTCAATTTAAAAATTAGCACACTGGTAAACTGAGCGGTGAGATCATAACCCCTGACTGACAAATCTCTAAGCTGGTAGTATTACCATTGCCAGCTTGTTCTACAAAGTTACAACTGTTACGATTAGGTATAATATACATCAATGTCACGTTTTTTTTCGTGTTCTAGTAAATGGCAAAATTTTTGAAGATCAGGGTGTCGCCCCCCCCCTCCCAAAAATGACAAAAAAAACAGAATATGTTCTTTAGAATATGTTCCAAATAACCTTGGTTCTATTTTTTGGTCACCATGAACCATAATGACGAGAGTCTGCTACACTTCTCTAGCAATGCAAGTTAATTTAACAATTATCTATTGAAGTACAATGTCACAAAACGAATATAAATGAAAACAAAAGGGCTAAAGTTTTACAATATATCAGTGTAGTCTAAACAAAATCACACAAATTGAAAAAATACAAGTATTCTTTTACCATTTTATATGGAAGTAAAGAAAATATACACTGCATTGCATACTGAATTACCTCGCTGAAAAGGATACTAATGTCATGTTTTACCATACCTATTGGACAACCAGGTGATGCAGGGTGCCAGTAGAATTGCATGTAACAACATTAAAACTGTTCAATCATGATACCTACTCAAGTTATTATTTCAATATGTTCGAAAACCGTGAAATACTTATATATTACGTTATAAAATGAAACTACCATGGTTCGAAATTAGTATACGCCATATACAGTTTTCATTTCGGTGTTGCTATCTGACAATATGAAACCTGGTAATACCGCTTATCAATTAACCTATAGATATAGGAAAGTCAATCTCGATATATGGTTGATGGTAAATAACACTTTCATCCAGCTTACCATAATAATGTTATAAACATTTCAATTAGTTTATGTAAGTTAGCGCTTACATATATAGCCTGTAAATATAGTATTTAAATATGACTCGTAATAACAGTACCAATATCTATTATCAGAGAGAAGAATAATGATCAGTACGCTGAAAAGTTTGGCATAGCAATACAATTCATTGTGCACTATTTGTGTAACAAAAAGCGGTTTGTCTGTGTATGGTCTTGATCATTAGATCTTGTGTTTTTATCAATGGTTCAATTTTGAGTGAAAAGCTACAAAAGAGATAACATGCTATGTTAAAATAGTATTGCGAAGTAGGGTACCTAAATAACGTTACATGGAATACATTGGTGTATAAGAATAGTACTATTCCAACAGCCACACAGCATTTTCTTGAATCTTGGTACCTCACATATGCAAGGATATGTGCAAAAGCTTTAATAACATGGAAAGTGCAGTGGTATATTGAGCATTCCATCATTTGGGCATGTATGCTACATAATACAAAATATAGAAAATTCCAAGTGAATTTTTTTTTGTACTGAAAAATTTTAAATTCATTAATCCAGTTGATATTAATTGAAATATAAAGCTGGCAATATTTCAGTCAACATTTTGAGATATCGATCTGGATAAATAACTTTAGTCATTTAGATACTGAACTTTGATCCTGCCAAAAATACAGCACTTTTTCCTTTTATAATGTTTCGTTTTGCTGCCCCTCTTTATAAATTTTTTTGAAATTCATTGTTGTTTTTTATATACACGAATCCTTTGCTTTTGGTTCCATTGGTTTTTTCAATTTTGTATTTCTTTCCCATGTATGTGCTAACTGTAGTAATATTATCGTACACAAGTCTCATAAATGATGCAGTTAACGATTGAGTTTGTCATTTCTCATTACAGTATGATTATTTTAAAGTTGTTGTGGAATGGCAGTGTTTATTCCTGTGCACTTATTTTCAAACTAGAATGCACTGTACCATTTGTCTGAGTACTAATTCAAATCAATCCAATTTCCTTCATGTTGGATTGCGTAATAACATCTGCTACTGCATCAAATACGACCTAAAAGTAAGAAGAGCTGGTCATAGAAGGTCTTTTATATTTTCAGTATAGATACGGGAACCATTCCTGCTTTGTGTCATTTGTGGGCATGGTAGCCTAGTAGTTTAAGCCTTAGACTTAACTATGATAGCATCGCAGGGTCAAAATCGCATGTTCAAATCCCATGCCTACCCTTTAGGGTGTAGCAATGTTGAACTGGATTCTGTACCTTCCGAAATAAGATAGCTTCTTACTTATCAGTGCTCATATCCTTACTTCATTTTTGACTGTTAATAAATTGAATGAAATCCATTTGAAATTTGACCTACTCTAAATTGCTCATGATCCCTTCTTTATTCTATTTTGCCTTATTATTAATTATTACCGGACAGATATTAATTAACAGGTTACAGAATTGGTTTTATACCCACCTCAATGTTCTTGGTGTCTGTCGCACAGGTGAAATGTGAATAAATTTCTTTGGTATCGGCGTGAGCGTTGAGAGCTTCAAATTTGCCTCTAATGTATTCTGAAGCTTCAGTATAGTTGTTTGATCCTGTGTTGCATTAAAAATCGATTATTTCAGTGGAGTCAAAATTCATATTTGTATACTGTAAATTTTAAAATGCTTCTATGTGTATATTGGGGGCATGTTGCTTGAGTTAAGAAGCATTAATTTTCTCACAGCGTTTCTGTCATATTGTTATATGTATCATATGCTCAAATTTTTTTTTAATGAGATAATAGCCACAACACAAATAATTGAACAAAAGTCTGTTACTGATAGACAACCTTCACATATGGCATTCATCGTTTACTAGTACATTAGAATTGTCCAGCCTAAAATTTACATTGTGGGCTGGTCGCTTAAATTGCGTAAAACCTTTAAAACGACTGATGAGCCCATGTCATACTCATTCAAATCTTTTTATAAACTTTCTCTATTAACAAGCAATCACTGTTATTATTGTAATCTTCTTACCCATATACTCTGGGAAACAAATTGTGAGTGGTGATTTCTCTATTTTATCTTGAAAGATATCCTTCTTATTGAGGAAAAGAATCATCGATGTTTTTGTGAACCAGGTATTGTTGCATGTTGAATCAAATAAAATCATAGATTCATGCATTCGATTCACTTCTTCATCTTCTCTTAGAACCTGAAATATAATAATTCTATTAAATACGGAAATAGATAGTGTTGTGGGCGTGGTAACCTAGTGGCTTAGACTAACTATGATAGCATCGCAGGGTTAAAATCCCATGCCCACCACTCAGGGTGTAGCAATGTTGAACCAGATTCTGTTCCTTCCGAAAAAAGATAGCTTTTTACATTTTTAAATTGAATAAAATCCATTTGAAATTTGACCTACTCTAAATTGCCTATGATCCTTCTTTATTCTATTTTGCCTCATTAATTATTAATGGATTCCAATTCCCAGTTTAATATTTTTTATTTGCTGCAATATGGTGCCAGATATAAATTTGTTCCTACACTTAGAAAAAAAACTATAAAGTTTACTGTAATTTAATAGTAATTTAGTTTACTGATTTTAACTAACTGTAGTTGCTTATTAGTTAAGGGATAACTGTTATACATTGGACTGACATAGATAACATATTTTTAGAATAACTAGAAAGCAATAAAGTACAGGCAAAATTCAAATTATGTTATTGAGACTTTTCTTACCATAAAACTAAAAGATTCAAACCTTCGTTAATTGAAAAATTTTCCTCAAATTGCTATCATAAACTTACCAAATCATATCCACTAAGTGCTACAGTAAATATTATCGCAGTGACTGATTCAAAGCAGTGGATCCATTTTCGCCTTTCTGTTCTTTGACCCCCAACATCGACCATTAAAAAGCTGATCTCTTTAAAAGTGAATCTGTAATAGAGTCATAAATAATTTATTAAAAATAACTTCAATTCAGAAGATCTGGGTAAGATGCAATAACTCACTAATTGTTGTTTATTTCAAAAATATTTTGATTTTTTTTCAAAATTGGTGCTACGTTACTACTAGTGCGTACTTTGTAAATAACTTTTTTTTTGGCTGAAACATGGTATTGACCATATTATTATGAATATCATGGTTTTATAGAAATTTTTAATCTAAAACTCTCCTTTATTGCACATTTCCTAATAGAATTTATTTTTTACCGAAAACTTCTATGTAAGATTTAATATCAATGATTCGTTATTTCAGCCCTATTGTTAAAACTGTTTCTAATTCTTACTGATATCTGATAGATTTTCCGAGATAAATATTTAATATCTGTGGATTTTCCGCCATTTTCTGAGTAAGTTCCAACGCTTCTCAATTAGTTCATTTGCTCGATTCAAGTAAATATTAGTGAAAACAAACGTATTTTTTTGTTAAAATATAATTACTATTATTGTGATTGGAAGATTTGATCAGAGTTGAGAGTTTAAAAACAAAATCTTTCGTTTATCAAATCAAGTGATCTGAATACATTTATGAGATAAAATGTCATTTATATCTATATTATTTATAGAATTCAATCGTTTCCTCAAAATCAAACTTTAAATTAACATACTTTGTTTCTATAATTCCTGTTGTTTTAATTCTCGTTCGTAAAATATCTTGTTCTGTTGGAATGTAATCTGATTTCGCAAGTCTGTCTATTTCATCCAAGTAGTATTTTGCAGAATCATCCAGTTGATACTCTCTTGACCGTGCATAGCATTTCTATAATAAATCAAGCATGTAGTTTTAATTTAGAAAAGGTTAAACATAAGTGACATTTAGTTCTAAATTTGGATATAAACATGTCTTGGTAGATGTTGAGATGTAATTATATGCTGTTTATGTTGAACCACATGAGGGATTTGTTGCTGTATCGCCATTTTTTAACAAGAATTGGACTAGTTAATTTTACTAAATCATTGTTGTTGAAAAAAAAACCTTTCAACACAACTATTGGATCAATCTATTTCAGATATCGCAGTATTCACTAAAAGGTCATTACTTTTTTTTCTATTTTTCTCTCAGACCTTTATATTTATATTAGCCGCTATTTCACCAAAAATATTGCTGTTTCATTTGTATTAAACACTTTTTCTGTATTTCTCGACCATCTCTGTATTGCTTGTCCACACAACTCTGTGCTTTCAGGCCTTACCATTTTTTATTACCAGTACCAATAAGCCACCATTGTGTCCATATATTTGAGTATTTTATTGTTTACTAAAACTAGAAAACCATACTGAGAGTTGTATGCTTGGGAGGGTAAATTTTTAAAAAAGAAAATATTTTTGAAAAAGAAAATACAACACTCTATCTTTTTCATTTACATTTTATTACAATAACTGGCAACAGCTCAAGCTCATTTCTGTTTAATTTGGTTATCAAAATTGTGTGGTTAGTCGAAGTTTTCTTTCTGAATATTTATAGTTATAGAGATTGAAAATTTCAATCTTAAAAACTTGGTGCCGGTGACTGTTATATACGAGACATCAACTCATTTATTAATTATGGAAGGTTTCAATCTTAGGCTGGATATAATTTATCAAATTTCTGTCAATGGTTTGCCACCACAATCAAGATAACTGTATTAGTGTGTAAACTACTTTATGGCAAATTGCTCAATGAATTTTGTGTGCAATTATCACCACAACATTAAAAAAAACATATATTGAGGTGGGTATATATGATCTTAACTTAAGTAAAGTATGACATCTATGTTGTGTATGATCGCAATCTATATGTTGCATTATATATAAATCATATCCAGTGTTCATATATTGCGTTTCAAAGTTTTTTAATTTATTATATTGTGCGGCACATTTCACAATAGGAACATTGCTGCAATCAATAATCACTTGCAGGAAGACTCATCAAGATGTTGCGTCGTGCGATGACTAATAAATGTTCGCTGACGATAAAATTCAATATTCTTTGATTGAAAAGCTATTTTTTAAAAACAGTTTTTTCATATCTGTAATGGAATCTGTGTGTATTGGGCCTGGTCTCCTTATGTTTATATACTGGAATGACATGCAAAAAAAACCTATCTGAAGGTTCTTTACTTCATAGAAGAGTTCAATTTCCTTTTGTCAATCATTTCTCTCAACAACAAAAAAACGTCACTCTATCTTTTGATGTGTGTATCTACTCCTATTATATTATCACCTTACTTTAAATGGATTAATTAGGTATTATGTGAATAAATTCTTGACAGACCATTTCAGTGAAAAAATTTTAATTTGAAATAATCACCAATGTATGAAATCTTTATACTCAGTTTCCACCTTGAATATCCAACAATGAAAATATTAACTGTTGAAGGCTAGTGAAATTTATAACGTTACCAGCAAATTTTTTTTATCTGAATTATCAATGCCCAACGCTGCTTGCTTATTATTTAATCATGTTCATTAAGTCATATTACGGTACTCCACAAAATACGAAAATAGTATTGAAAATCTATTTGCCATATGTTGCATCAAACTTCCAAATATATAAAATTTTATTGTATATTGGCATTTTTCTCATGCAATTTCAGTAAATCTCACCTGCATTCCTCTATCATTCCAGACTTGCTTTATCATTAGGCCCATTTCTGGTGAAATTTCATCTGATAATGTTGCAGATGAAGCCAAAATTTTCTGTGAATATGTCTGAAAATTGACAAAGTTGTTAATATATTAGCAAATTATTTGGGCTCTTGTCTCCACACACTAACATAATAGATAATACAGATAATAATCAACTTTATCTATATGTGACCTCAGTAATGTCACAGGAGGTCATTCAATACTTTGTCAATTATGACATCACACAAACACATGTAATTCAAGTATGGAAGTAGCTTCAGGAAATAGCCCTCGGCTTCATGAAGGTTGGTGACCCTGAGGCTTGCGACTACAAACTAGCTCAGGTAAATTTACTTCATGATTCTTAGTAAAGAAATAGATATGAAATTACCTCCTAAATTTTGAAATGTTTTGTAGTGTAAGAACCAAAGCATCATAGGCACAAGATATGAATAACACTACTTATTCACACTATAGTGGAAGGATATAAAATGTTTGAAATATGTCATTTTGGTTTAAATTTTTTAAACAATAAAAATGAACTTATGGAAAATTACGTTTCATCTGACCAGGGTCAGACTTCCTCGGACATACATAGTTCAACCATAACAAGAAATGCAGCTGAATGCATATTTAAAAAATCTGTGTAAAACTTTTGGGAGTTACTCATGTTAATATACAGAATTTTGGATTCACAAAGTTGGAAATATCTATTTTTGAATCAAGTATATCTCACCGCGTTTTCTTTCTCGTCAAATTGAATTTCTAATGCTTCCATTGCCTTGATCAAAGTTGCTGCCGCCTGCATGGTATTGCCATGAACTACGGTCCTGCATAATGAAGAAGATAAATTAATAATTGTATAATACTTCATATTCTAGCTTAGGTATTAAATAGAATAGCTTTTTTACTTTTTCATTCTTTTAAATAAATCAGTTTAACTTATTTTGTTTACGAAGTAAAACCTATTCAAAACAGAAGACTGAAAATCAAGTTAATCAGATAAAAGTTTTCGAATTTAGTCATTGCGAAATGTATACGAGATGGATATACTTCCACAGAAAGGTTGTAAGTCATGAAAGCACCCCTCATCCATTATTTATTTAGTCTTAGACATCAGGTTCTTCATGATTCATATGCAGGCCTGATATCCAAACGAGACTGGCCATTTTCACAAATTTCTTGGGTCGGCAACTGTTTTTCAATATATGATAATGTGCCTGCAGACAGTTGAAATCAATTCTCTGGGGAGGTGATAGTACCAGGGGAACATCTGTCGATACCGATCTTTTCAAACAACACCTTTCCTCAACAATTTTTTTTAAATTGATTCTCATTGGATTAGCCTTCGTCTTAGCCACTGATAGGGTGTCAATATCCCCTTGGGATATTATTATTTTGATGATAAGGAATGAGCTTGATCAAAGGATAGGATTAGTGACACACTCAAGGAATAAAAGATGTATTGTATTATATTGCTTTCGTCCTAATAAGCTGACTTATATTGCAGACGAAATTCGTTGTGACATTTGCGTCAGTACGTGTTCCCTTTTCTATCCATTGTGTGAGATTTTAATCTATATGTAATTTTATCCATAGGGTTATTGAATCGAAATTTTTCTATCGCATGATGACAATCAATATTGTGAAGTTATATTCCAGTATTTTTATTCACTAATTTTGTCTAGATTTATATCTATGAACTTGAGGATTACTTTTATAATTTACTTCTCAAAACTTGAATTGAACCTAATTTTTCTTCTTCGTAAATAAGTGCCAGGTGGTAGAGAGGCGGGGTATTTATATGCTCTTTGTTTCGAACAAGGCTCTGTGCATAAGTAGCCACCGCTAGGAGGGCTGTAATCTTTCCGATTCGTCAAATTATACACCATTTATTACCTTGAGTGAGGTGGGGGGCATGGGATTTGAACCCGAGATTTTACCCTGTAATGAATCTGAACCTTTCTTGAATCATGGTTCAATTTTTTTAGCAGTGATTCGAACCAGTAAATTTAAAATTTATCCTATTCTGATTAATGAAGAATATATCTTAGTTATATAAACCTTCAGTTGAATTGCTTTTCAACTTTTTTCCACTTTAAATCCTATGCGAACTGTAAATTAATATCAGGATAAAAAGAATATTATGCACCTGTATTTTACACATTCTTCTTTTGAGTATCCTTCCTTGTGCAATATGACCATTTGTTTTGCGACTGTGCTTTTTCCTGACTCACCAGCACCCAAAAGTAGTAGCTTTATCTGTTCATTGAAGATCTGTAAACATATGTTTTTTTTTTATAATTAGGCTAATTGATATAAAAAAATTCCAAAAATTGCCGTTTCATTGACAAATAATGAAGGGTTCGTATTATATCATGGGATTTCAGCTTCTTAGAAAATTATATATTATCTCGTAGATTTATGTGTTCTTGATGGTGTTTATGTTTTTAATCCAAAAATAATCGGGAGCAATGTTAGGATTCGTATTAATTTCTACAACATTTAAAGAAATACAATCCAACATTTTCAAATCTCAAAACTTGTTACAATACATATACCGGTAAGTATCTTATTATTTAATAATTTTTATTTATCAATTATGAAACAGATTCAATAGTTTTAGTATTTCACTTTTTTTTCTGTTTTTCTCAAATGAAACTTTCCGTATTTCTGATTATACCAGTCGTTTAAAATAGCCTATTTTTCCTGTGTTCACATGATACTGTAATTTCGCATTTCATTACCGATTCTTGTGTCATGACCTGACGTATGATTAATTTTCAAATGATTCCGCATTCATTGTAACTATGACGTAATAATGACATCGTAAATAGCGAATATTTGGTCGAAAGGAAAATTTTATATATAGCACTTTCTAGGCTAGTTTCATAATGTAATTCCCGAATTTCAGTTCTGTCTGAATATACACGTAAGGAATACTTCAGTTTATTTCTCCTTACATAGTTGAGTGGTCATGGTAATAACATGATAGATTTTCTCATTAACGAATTGTTTTCATGGTCACTCTTAGCCATTTCCTCATACGTATGCATTTTTACTTTGAACAGAGCCATCAACATTCATAATTGAATAGCTTAGCTAGATAACTTCATTTAATGTTTTTTCAAATGCCAAGGTATATTTGTTATTTTTAATGGTTGAGACACATCAACCTACATACCATCTCCCTATATTTTACTATAAATATATTTCATAACACCTTTGAATCAAGCAATAATGGGCAGTTTACCTATTATCAATATAACTAAAATTAGAATTAGTACTGATAAAAGAATTTCAAAGTGGCACTGTTACCTGTATATTTACATTAGAAAAGGCTTGAGATTTTCTAAAATAGATAAAATCTTCCATATCGAGAATTTATTTATATTGTATGATTTGTATTTTTTATACATCAAATCTTTTCAACAAGAAATGCCTGTTTATGGAATAATATATGATTGTCTGTGTTAGAATAATACATTGTATTAAAAGGTGATGGAATCTGACTTACTTACACAGCCTTGCTATACCATATCCATATTATCTCAAGGTATTACACTATTAATTAAAAACCACAATTAAGAAATACTCACTCTCATCTCTTCTTTGAGATGCCGGTCTATTCTCCGGGCTTTTTCAACAGCCTCGTGGCTCTCCTTCGACCCCCCACACCCCATCAGTAGCTTAGGCAGCTTGCTTGTTTAAGTTTTCCTCTGAAAGAAAACTTTCGCACTGATGTGCGATAATGTTGTACTACGTACAACTGTGACGCTTGTAATTTGTCTCGGAGATGCCCCGAGGGTTGTGTTAGATCGTCGTTGAATCGGTGATAGTAGAATTTAACATGAAGGCAATTATACTGTAATCCCAATAGTTGTTTTCCTCAAATTGTTACCGGGCTTCTTGATGAAGGGAATTAACTGTAATTGGTGGTTGTTAACTAGGCGTCAAAGATTCTCTCACAGTTTCGAGTCTGATATTCAGAATATTTAACCAATTTCTAATAATATTTTATTCCTGTAATATAAAAATAAAATGTACATATCCATATTATTAGTATTAAACTATCTTCCTTTCGAAAAAAAACATGTTTAAGATACATTTACTGTAATACAAATCTAAATGCAAATTGAATTTGAGGTGTGAGGCGAAGTTGTAAGAGTGATATTTTTGCTTCCTAAATGTTTAACAAATTTGAATGTAGATTGTAATCTTTATGCAAATTGAATATAAGCTTCTAATTGTCCTGTATATTATTAAATGTAAATACAGGGAAAACCATAATAGTACTAATTTTTCTTTCCAAATTTGAGAAGAATTTATATAATTGTTTTCAAAAGGGTGGAATTCTGGCATATACATCATAAAATTTGTGTAGATCTGTGTATGAATGTGCAGATCTTTATATTAAAATTAACCCACTTAGAGATCAACTAATCACGTTCCTAAAGCTGATGCCCCAAGGGAAATAATGGTTTTGTTCCGGGCTTCCGGCTATTATTCTAATTCTTCCTTAAACACTAATTATCCATAACTCACTCAGAAATAATTTGTTTATTTTTTGCCTATCCAAGTTTGGGTGAACAATGTATTGACTATCAATGCTCATTTTATCAGTGGTCCATGCTCTGCAAATAGTAGACACAAGTTGATTATAGGTTATGTGAACGTGGACACATTACTGATACAAATCCTATAATTTATGTATCTAATTAGCTCTTTGATGTATTTATCATACGTCATGTCATAATCATAATGATCTAATAATTGGTAATATATTTTAGAAAATGTTTACCATTTTGCTCACTTTTGTGACATTTTATTATGCCATAATCACCTAAATGAAAGCTATGCTCTCCTATCCATTATGTAATTCCCTATCTAGAAATTCTGCCTTCACAGAATATTGTCTCTATGCTTCACAGTCATTGTTGTATTTGACAATCGCCAATAACAGTATTCTAACTAATCTAACTTGTGCTGATATTCTGATACCAATCTTTGTGCGGTTTGTCACAACAAACATTGATATATAGGCTATATTTATCACGCAAACAATTTTTATTCACACAAACCCACAATTTGCTGATTACAACATTAAAGAAGTACGGTAACTCTCAATAGTAAATATACAGTTCTGAATTTTGACTCAAAAATCATTTTTAATCATGTTTTCTCGAATATTTCATAAATGCATTTTTTCTAATAGCCAAAAGTGTGAGTATCGATATATTGGTGCATCTCATTCAAAATAGATTCTACTTGTGATATTTGTGACATAGCACTGCCACCTTTTCTATGCACAAATTTTTCTTTCGACACTGCGACCATGAATTTGTTTCACTATGCTCATTAGTTATTTAAATGAGACATATGACAAACTTCCTTCCCGTTAGCTCATATTTCCCAGAAAATTGTGCTGCATAGCGCAATGAGACTGAAGTTTAGATTTACTATATATTACATATCAAACAGTCACTATTTACATTAGTTACTGAGTAACATGCTTTTTGGCATTCAACTATTCTATTAGTAAGAGCTACCTGCCAATGGTTATTTAAGACTCAATTGTTGAGAGTAGTTTTAATTTCCGAGAGTCCAACATAAGGTATCAGTAGGGACTAATTGGCTTATTATTAATAAAACTCGCTTTGTTAACCTCTTGTGTTATTATACCTCCTGGAAGCATGGCCAATGAAAACTACAAATTTGTCTTATGTATAGAATCTGAACACCTTGACAAGAATGGATCGTGCTTCTTAATACCTATTTATATAAATAATAATAATTTGCATTTAATTATATTTACTTATAAATGCAAATCTGCGCTTTTCTGACCATTAGCTGCGGTTACTTTGAGTGAATTCGAGACAATTTGAGTGAATTTGGTTTATTTTAAATTAATGACTTATCTCAATGTCTATATTTTTTCCTAAAAGAATTAGCGAATTATCACACAACATTATCACTGCCAAATTAAATTGAACATCGTGTCAGACTTGCTTAGATTATACTTCTATACTCCACCGCTTCAATTATTATAAAAAATAACCTCATGTTGTTTGCTAGTCTGTATTCTGGACATATTATAGCCATTTATAAATGATCTATATTTCAATAGCTATGGATAATCATTTTCTGCTGAGGCTTCCAATCTAGATTTAAACAGGATTAAATTTAAAGAACTCTATTGAAGTCTTGAATGTTTACTTATTGCTCGAGGTGAGTTCTCAACCACTAAAACAGATGGTAATGAGAGAAGATATAACATGTATACTCGACGTAGAGAACCTATTATACCCAATTTTTGTTTACTTAACATCTGTTTGAGTGTGAACAAATCCATATTGATTCTAAAATAACTGTTACCGTACTTGATAATTTATTTTCTCTCTCTCATAATCTTCTTATCTGCTAATATACATAAACCATGGTATTCGAGGCTTGCTTGCAGTGTCTGATTGTCATTGTTTGTACTCGTAAACTGCTACTTTATACAAATTATTCATTGTCTTTGCACAATCTCTCTTATAATCTGGTAACCCGATGTTGTCTGATAGACGAACACAACGGAAAAGAAGAATGTGTCAAATAAATTTTAAAATCAATCACCCTGTACCAAGAATGCCTTTTTCTGAATAATTCAACTTGAATAAAATACTGATTGATGATTATTGAAATTTCCATCATTTTTGACATTTTATGAATATTTATAAATAACCTTGGTGCGTAGGTAATATACCCTGCTCTTTTTTAATTTCATCAATATAAGAAGTCAAATTCTTCATTTCATGAAATAATTCATATTCATAGGCCATATTCATTTCAAAGATGACTAATATAAAAATTCACCATTACGATTTAATTCACATAGGAACTAAGATGCTGCTTGAAACCATAACGAAAAAATCAATTTCCCTACAATTTCATACAAACTATTTCATGATCCACTGTGTAATATACACTCTTGTATAAAGCATAAGTAGTTAACCTCATGGTCGCTAAAGTTACTACCTCAATCTGAACAAAATTTCTGAACTATCTATATACCTTTAAAGAACATGACATGATATTAGCTCAAGGCTATAAACACCTCAACAAATACATCTGATAACATTCTCTTCTCTAAACATATACTGCAATACGTAACTTGAAAAAAGTAAAATGATGAAGTTAGAGAATAGTGGGCTTGACACATTGTATACATTATTATATTTGCCATTGTGGATGAGAACATCATTAATATACCGTATTTTACATTATGAAAACTGTATTATAAATCAGCATTTAGAAATGATTCTGATTGTGATGCAAATAGAAGTTCATTAATTAAGGCATTATTATGGGTGCTGTTTTTTTTTCATATGCAGAACAAATAAAGATGAATCTATTTTATTCATTTCATTTCACCCCTGTACAAATTCAAATTCCTTTAACATCTCAAACGTTTTCTAAAGTCTGGCATACTGTACTTAACCACCAGTATACAATATCTCATTATATATTTCAATACATATTCAGATTACTTCATAGGCAGATAATTGAAGGTAGATTATGTTGAACGACACAAAAATGAGGCTATATACCATTCACTGAGCTGTACACACTAAATTATACCTTATATAGGAATTCATTGATTTGTTAAGGAGTCCCTGGACACATGTAATTACAAGCTAAATATCCATTCTAGCAATACATATCATTATATCAAACGTTATTGAATATATAAATATATACAATTGCACATACTGAAACGTTATTAATTCACAATCCTCCTTAAAAAATATCCATCAAAAAAGCTTCTCGGAATTTATCTTCTTGGAATTTATTACAACAAGTCATGTTATAAATTGTTGTGTATCCTGAGATGAAGACCTCAACGTAATTAAGACCTCGTCACTCCTTTTGCAATACAGATAAACTAAATGTATTCAAAATAGCTCGATCAGTTAAAAAACTTTCATAATATTTGCTATGCCACCATGTCTCATTGTACACACCTTATACTCTATCATGAATAACGTACTCAAGATGACATTAATTTAATATCAATTATATTGATAGAATACATGACATTTGTGTACTAAAGTAGCCCATTTATAATAAACAAACAAAAGTAGTCTCATGTTTACAAGCTTGTTGTTATGTTGAAATAAGTTGTTGTAACGGCGCTAAGCTAAAATACCATTGCGACATCAGCAAACCATAAGCTTATAGCTACACATTTAAGTTAGCTCATGTTGTTGTATTCAATAAATAATAATCATGCGCTTTATCATGACAATCGAGCCAGAGAGGAAGTGCGTTATGAATTATTTTTTTTGTTCTCTCCTCTTACTTGGTATACTGATTTGGGTACTGCGGTTGTAGCATCTATCTGGTAACTAAACCATTATGACCTCATTAAATTGTGTATGATTTTTTCAATAGCTGTGTTATGAATAGCCATTTCCACATACTGCGTTTTTTTTTATTCACTCCTTAAATCCTGTTATTGTTATAGGTAAAATCACAAAGAGAGTCTTTCTTTTATGCAAAATATGTTCTTAATGTTGATTTAGTTGCCTATTGAATTGTGTTGAATTGTGTTGTGAACGCCAATTTCACTTTTATATTGCATTACACTGACTTTGGATTGAATAACTGTATCAAAAAATTTCTGAAATGTTAATTAGTTTGTTAAAAGGCCATATTCTCTGAATCTCCCTTTAATACGTATTGGTTTTCTCGATGACGTACATTCAATAAATTTGAATTCAGTATCTAAAACAGTACCTTCCTTTACTGAACACCTACCAGTAAGTACCTATATTTTTTCAATCTTCAATTGAAGTTTTATGTGGAGCCAAGTTGGCTTTAAAATTTCAAACATTGCTTATGCCTTCAACTCTCTCAATACTAAATATTTTTGTACTGCCACCACCATAGCAACTTTAGGCAGGTATATTTCTCTCATTGTGCTCAGTGTATGGCAGCTGTCTTCTCTTCATTGTCACATATTGATTTCTCCCTTGAAAAAAGAAGA